AGGGGATGGGTGGTGGGAGGGTTGGGAAGTGTGGGAAAGAAAAGTGTACACAAATAGGTGGAATGAAAAAGCTTGACTTAAAGTTTAGATTTGGAGACCAGAGTTCTGGTCCCAGTTCATCTAAGCTTAATAATCGTGGGCCTTCCTATCACACTGGCCTCTTCCAGCAAAACCCTAACCCATTCTCATCTCTAGGGGCCTTCTTTGACTTCCCTTATTACCCTGTATTTTTGATAACATGGGCTGGGAGTGGTGGCTCATGCCTGCAATCCCAGCACTTTGGGAGGCTGGGGCCAGCAGATCACCTGAGGTCGGGAGTTCCAGACCAGCCTGGCCAACATGGAGAAACCCCGTCTCTACTAAAAATACAAAATTAGCCGGGTGTGGTGGCGCATGCCTGTAGTCCCAGCTATTTGGGAGGCTGAGGCAGGAGAATCACTTTAACTTGCCAGGCGGAGGTTGTGGTGAGCCGAGATCACGCCATTGCACTCCAGCCTAGACAAGAACGAAACTCCGTCTCAAAAAAAAAAGAAAAAAAAAATTGATAACATGGCTGTTTCCCCCTTCAGCCATGAACTTTTTTGAAGGTTGGGAATGTCTTTACCTGTATTCTTGGCACATAGTATATGGACTTATGTTTGTGAAATCAGTGAATTGGCTGTAGTCAGGGAACTCCTCTTGGGGGAAGTGAGACTTGCATGGAGCTGGGCAACTCATGGTCCAGGAGGGTTGAAAGAATAGGTGGGGCACTCCCAGGAGGGGCTGGGACCTGAAAGTGAACCCAGATTGGCAGGGAGGTGACCTTATCATTGCCACCTGGAGAGGCTGCCCCTTCTGGCTCAGGTGGGACTTGCATGTGGCTCCCAGACTTGTTTGGCTTCCTCAAAATAGCTTCCAGAAAAGTGAATAAACCACAAAAGGTTGATTTATTTATCACTCTCAGCCCGTCTCTTACAAAGACAGAGTCCACTGACCAAAAACTGAGGATCTGCAACTGGGCAGATTCCAGGAAGGGGAAGTCAAAGGGCCCAGGTCAGAGGCCCAAGTTCAGACTTCAGCAGCAGACCGGGGTCAGACTTTACCAAAGTCAGAACTCAAGGTTCATGTAAGTCCTTAGATCCCGCTCCCAAGCCCTGTCTTTCTCCTCCCTCCTTCTCTCCTCCTTCCGGCTCAGCGTGGCCACCCGAGGGGCTCTCTCCCTCCCAGCCACAGCTCGGGTATCCCAAGCTGGGAAATGTGTTACTCGGGGCTGGGGTGCTGATCTGTAGCCTAGTCCCTCCTGGTCCCTCTTGAGGACAGTGGGGATGGGGTTGGCACGGCCCTCACCCCGGGGTCCCAGTCCCATTCCTGGCTCCCAGCCCCCCCTCAGTAGCAGTTTGAAGCCCGGGCTGGAGATGGGCACCCCAAGTGGAAGGCTGGAAGGCTGAGGACCCTGGGACAGTGACAGCAGGTGAGCAGTGGATGTGCGGTGGTTGGAATCTTGGAAGTGGGTGTCACAGGTCTCGCAGTACTGGAGGGAGGGAGTAGGAGACCTGCAGAAAAAGAAGAAAAAGCATTAACGGCAGGGGAAGGAAAAGGGGAAGAGTTGAGGCCTGAGAGAGGGCTGGCAGGGTAGGAGAGGATCCTTTCAGCTTTTCTGCTAAGGAACAAATTGCCGGCTAGGCATAGTGCCTCACACCTGTAATCCCAACACTTTGGGAGGCAGAGGTGGGCAGATCGCTTTGAGCTCAAGAGTTTGAGACCAGCCTGAGCAAAATGGCAAAGCCTATTTTTTTTTTTTTTTTTTTTTGAGATGGAGTCTTGCTCTGTCGCCCAGGCGGGCGTGCCGTGGCTGGATCTCAGCTCAGTGCAAGCTCCGCCTCCCGGGTTCACGCCATTCTCCTGCCTCAGCCTCCCGAGTAGCTGGGACTACAGGCGCCCGCCACCTCACCCGGCTAGTTTTTTGTATTTTTTTTAGGAGAGACGGGGTTTCACTGTGTTAGCCAGGATGGTCTCGATCTCCTGACCTCGTGATCCGCCCGTCTCGGCCTCCCAAAGTGCTGGGATTACAGGCTTGAGCCACTGCGCCCGGCCTACTTTTTTTTTTTTTTTGAGATGAAGTCTTGAATCTGCTGCCCAGGCTGGAGTGCAGTGACATGATCTTGGCTCACTCTAACCTCCACCTTAGCAATTATCCTGCCTCAGCCTCCCAAGTAGCCGGGATTACAGGCACATGCCACCATGTCCCAGCAAAACCTGCTTTCTACAAAATATATGCTTGAGCCCAGGAAGTGGAAGTTGCAGTGAGCTGAAATCACGCCACTGCGCACCAGCCTGGTGACAGAGTAAAACCTTGTCTGGGGGAAAAAAAAAGGGACAAATTGACTTCCTTCCTACTTAATAATGAGGGAATCCAGGCTGGTCCAAAGGTGGTGGTGTTATCTGAAATGACTGTTCACTCAGTTACAGATCAAACTCCTTACTCTACTTTTCCTTTCCTTCTCACTACTGGTCTTAAAAACAAATTTCTTTAAACCATTGTGGGACCCAGAGCAGACGAGTTGAAAAGAAAAAATTGTAACCAGGCCTAGCAAACTCTTGGGCAAGGGGAGGGATACTAGTGATAATGACTACAGCTAACATTCATATATTGCATACTATGCAGCATGCACTATTCTAGCATTTTACATATATTAACCCATTGAATCCTAACAACAATCCTTACTATCCCATTTCTAAGATGAGAAAACTGGAACATGTAGACATTAGGTTGTTTGCCCAAGTAAGTGAAATCAGGCTTTAAATCCAGGGAGCTCATATTCATAACCACTTGACTATACTACCTTGTCAACCTACACATGAGGATAAGGAAAGAACTCCTCAGCACTGTGCTGGGGCCTCTTGTGTGGAGTGGCTGGGAGAGGCAGAACACAATGAGACAGGGGTCTGAGCTAAAGTTTCCCCTCACCGGTTCTCTGGGCTCCTTGTCTCTCCATGGCTCTCCCTGACCATGCGGGCCACCTCAGGAAAGCCAGCTTCTTCAGCGAGCTGAGCCGCATCCCTGCCACCCAGCTCACAGACCCCCACCCAGGCAGCCCCACGGCCCAGGAGATAGCTCACAGCTGCCCCCTGGCCCGCTCGAGCAGCGCACATCAGTGGGGTCCACCAGAAGGCATCCCGAGCATTGATATTCCCCCCAGCTCCTCCTGCCTCATGGGGCTCCAGCAGTCTCCTAAGTTCTGCCAGGTCCCCCTCCTGGGCTGCCCTCAGTATCCGGTGAGTCATCTTATCCTCAGCCTCAAGGGATCTCCCTTGTCCATATCTTCCTGATACTCCTTCTGCCACTGCTTCTGCTGCAGCTGCCCCCATTATTCTTCTTTTCTTTCTCTTTCTTTCTCTGGCAGGTTCAGTGTGAGATCTCTGGGAGTCAGGAACGCAGCTCTCATCCCCAATAAGGGCCTCATAGAAAGCTCGGGCTGCAGCTCCATCCAGGGTGGACTCTGGCTCCTCGGGCTGTGGCTGCTGCTGCCCATCCTTCCAGAGGTCGCTGGGGTCAGTGGCTGGGGTGAAGGTGATGAGGAAGGGCCGGGACATGGCTTTTGGGAGAACTGAGAAAATGATACCAGGCAAGGGAAGGATGCGACAAGCAAGCCAAGCTCCTGGTGACTCTGTAGCAACCAGAGCCTCAGGGACCTGCTGGGATGAGAAAAAGTAGTCAAAAACACTTTCCTGCCGCTAAAGTGACCCCACAACTTAAGACTCTGCAGGGTCTAAGGAAGAGAGTATATGCGTAAAAACACGAAACCCTACAATACCGACTTTGCTCCTTAGTAAAGATTAATCAAACTCCATGAGACAGTCGTCCAGAGGTCCTGCGTCCGGCCCCCACCCCCATCCTTACCAACAATAAATACCAGCCTCTTTCTGAAATCACTTTCTTACCCCGTAAAACACACGTACCAGTAGGAGAAAAAAAATCAAACCTGGCCCTTTAAGTCTTCCGTGATCCCATTTCAGTTTCCTCTTCCCAAACAAAAATAGACGGGTCACTCCCTAGAAGATCTCGGGGAGAGGCTCCTATACGTGTTGCTGTGTAGCTTCCGTACCGCAAAATGGCGCTATTCTGATCAGCAGAGTTGACAAAATCAAATAGCCACACGGCACGGAGACGCATGCGTGGCGACAACAACAACAAAAACCACCACCCACATTACTTGATGGCTCAGGCGTGCGCAAAGCTCCCGGTTCAGTTTCCCGCGCTGGAACTTTTCCAATAGTAAACGAGCAAAGCTCCGCGCGCCCAGGTGGCGCGAGCGCTAGGATCTGTCGGTTGGGGTCCTACTTTTACATAACGCCCCCACAATGCCCTTCGCCTTCCTCTACGTGGCCCCCGCTCCAAGCCCATTTTCTGGAGCTAGGAATCCACTCTCTGGGTTAGGAAAGGCCCTCAGGAGGCGGAGGGAAACCTGTGGAATGCCGAGAAGCCGTGTAATGAAATAACGTCACGCCTGCCCCTCACCATTACTCTGACCAGGGTTCGAAGGTCACACTTAGAGACTAAGGGGAAATGGAGAAGTGCAAGGGGACGAGCAGAATGGCTGGCACCACCTCAGGTTAGCGCACTGGGCCGTTCTGGTTCTCACACCGCCCAGCCCAGCCCAGCCCAGCCCACCCAACCCAAGTCCCTACGCACGGAGCCAAGCCGCACCTCTCGCCTCATGAGGCCGGAGCCCGGAGTAAAACAGAAGGCCCGTCAAGGGCCTCTGGCGGGACTGACTCGCACTAGGGGCCCAACAGGCAATAAGGACCCAGCGCATTGGCCAAGGATAGGCCAGTCCCCAGGGAAGCAGCACCGCGCCGGGACTAGAGGGCAACTGTGAGGAGAGCTGCGGGGAGGGGTCCAGCCTGGCTCCCTCCTTTCCCCGCCCTAAGTCAGCCTCTTCGCCCAGTGAGCACACAACGGTATTGCCCAGGCTCCCAGGCCCCGAACGCCATACCTGGTTTCCGCTTCCGGTGGCTTCTCGTTGCGCCCCGCCCGCAAGCGTCCTCCTCCGGGGCTTCGTGACAGCCAGGTCGTGCGCGGGTCATCCTGGGATTGGTAGTTCGCTTTCCCTCACTTAGCCGGTTTCTCTCTCTACCGGGGACTCCGCGTCCCGGCATCCACCGCGGCACCTGACCCTTGGCGCTTGCGTGTTGCCCTCTTCCCCACCCTCCCCAATTTCCACTCCCCCCACCCCACTTCGCCTGCCGCGGTCGGGTCCGCGGCCTGCGCTGTAGCGGTCGCCGCCGTTCCTTCGAAGTAGCAACTTCCCTACCCCACCCCGGTCCTGGTCCCCGTCCAGCTGGTGAGTCTGAGGTCTTCGCTGCTCCTAGTCCCTTGTCGCTGGGAGCCGCACATGGGTCTCCGCACTTTGATATGGGGGCGGGGGAGGAAGCAACCAGGTCCGGCAAGGAGGGAGAGGTGGCTTGAGGAGCGGAGGGGGGATGTGTGGAATCCGGTGAAAGGGACCTGACAGTCGCCCTCAACCCTTGAGAATAGAGGGGCCTGATTCTTGCTTGAGAGTGATAAACTTGGAAACCCTTGGGAAAGGCGCCGGGGTCGTGCAGAGACTTGCATTGGTAGGGAGCCTGAGTCGAGGTCCCTGCCGGAGTTGACACAGAGAAGAGAGGGCCCTGGCTTTCGGGAGCTCCAGGGACGTGGGTCGGGCTGGTGGGTCAAAGTATCTGTTGGCTTCTTTCAAGTGGTGGGACCCCAAAGAATGTTTAACTTCAAAGGAAAGGGACTGAGATGTAAATTGGAGGAGTTGGAGAGGAGTGCTTCAGAGTTTGGGATCCTTTAAGAAAGGGTGGTTCTAATGTGGGAGGAGGGAGGATACCTGAGGCAGGGAAGAACTTGAGCTTTACTGACACTCTTTTTTCCAGCTGACGTGAAGATGAGCAGCTCAGAGGAGGTGTCCTGGATTTCCTGGTTCTGTGGGCTCCGTGGCAATGAATTCTTCTGTGAAGTGAGTTCTCTTCAACCTCCCTACTTGCTGGCTTCACATATCTTCCCACCAGATGTTCCTTCACGTATTCCACTTCTACACTGTTCTCTTCCATACTACTTGAAAACTTCCCATCAACGAAGAGTCCCCTCAATAACCCCCGACGAACCTGTGCTAAAGTGGCAAAACTGGGGCCCAAGTTCCGACTCTGCCACCCTCCAGCAGGCAATTAGTGTCTTTTTCTTTATCTTTTTTTTGAGACTGGGTCTCACTGTGTCGCCCAGGCTGGAGTGTAGTGGTGTGATCTCGGCTCACTGCGACCTCTGCCTCCCAGGTTCAAGCGATTCTCCTGCTCCAGCCACCCAAGTAGCTGGGATTACAAGTACCCGCCACCACGCCCGGCTAATTTTTGGATTTTTAGTAGAGACAGGGTTTCACCATGTTGGCCAGGCTGGTCTCAAACTCCAGACCTCAGGTGATCTGCCCGCCTCAGCCTCCCAAAGTGCTGGGATTACAGGCATAAGCCATTGCGCCCAGCCTGTATCTTTTATTGCTAAAGTGGTACTGCTAGTACCTGTCTCAGCTGGCTGTTAGGAAAATTGAAATGCTACGTATTGAAATGTTTTGTTCAGAAACCATGCCGTTCAGCTTCCATCCTCCTCAGCCAGCTGAGAGGACAAAACTGGTTCCTAGAGATGGAGTACAGGAGTAGGGACAGAGATCTTGAAAAGAATGTCTAAGAAAAAGATTGCTGTACCTGCTTATCCTTAGAAAAGAAAAGCCAAAGCTTTATGGGAGGGAGTATAGGTGAACTAGGGAGAGACGCAAGTACTTCTGCTGAGTTGGGAGTGAGAAACAAGCGGAACAGATGCAGTTGTGTTGATGATAAGGCATCAGTTAGAGCATTTTGCCCAGGTCAAAGATGGGGATTTTGATATAGGTTCCCTCTTGGCTTCCATGTCCCGACAGGTGGATGAAGACTACATCCAGGACAAATTTAATCTTACTGGACTCAATGAGCAGGTTCCTCACTATCGACAAGCTCTAGACATGATCTTGGACCTGGAGCCTGGTGAGGCACCCTCAGGGTTGTTTTGTGTGTGTGCATGCACTTTTTTTCTCTTCAAATCTATATTCACTTACTTGAATTTTGAAATTTCCTTTGGTTCTCTGATTTCTTTAACCCCAAATTCATGCTTTATTTTGATCCTCCACCTGACTGTGTCTAGTTTTGTGACGTATATCACTTGTTCCCGTGTTTTCTAAATCCACAATTCAGATGTTTTCCAAAATATGTTTCCTCATGGGTCTGGTTTGCTATTTCTCCTGCTTTGCACCTTCCAGTCTAGAGTTTCATCTTCTGCATTGACATTGTTGCAGTTATGTATTGAGGAGGCAGCTGGGAGGGAGAGTGGGGAGCAGAGGCTAAAGAGGTGTGAAGAGAAGACAGAGCTGTCTTGGGTTGGCGCAAGGGTCAGAAGCCCAGGTTTCTGGGTCACATGCCCAGATGTTGGATGGGGTAAGGCCCAAAAGTAGGTGCCAGGCGAACTGAATAGCCCGCAGCCCCTGGATATGGGCAGGGCACCTAGGAAAGCTGAGAAACCAGTGGTTGCATTTGGCCGGGCTGTGTTTCAGATGAAGAACTGGAAGACAACCCCAACCAGAGTGACCTGATTGAGCAGGCTGCCGAGATGCTTTATGGATTGATCCACGCCCGCTACATCCTTACCAACCGTGGCATTGCCCAGATGGTGAGGCCTCTCTGCTCCTAATTGCCTCCTTCTGAGCAGTAAGGGACACAGGTTCCTGCAGCAAGAAGTCATGTTTAAGCCCTGTTTAAGGAAACTGGCTGAGAAGAGGAGAAGAACCCCAGGCTTGGGCCTGGGAATTGAATTCTGATTGGGGGTCATCCTGAAGGGATAATTTTCAGGGAGGGAGACAGTCCTTGAACAGAGAGTTGTGATAGACTGCCTCTTCCTCAGGGAACAAACAAGGAATGGCTCTGATGGTTTGTAGCCTGCCTAACTGGAAGAAAGGCAACATAGGAGTTTGAGAGCCCATCTGGGCCAGAGAAGGGGCCTCTGGACAGAGGTGGGAGGAGTGGGGGACAGAGTGATATGGGTTGAGCTGAGAAGGGAGTTGCCTCTTCTCTTCACACCTACCTGCCAACCCCTTCCATTTTATTCACCTCAGTTGGAAAAGTACCAGCAGGGAGACTTTGGTTACTGTCCTCGTGTGTACTGTGAGAACCAGCCAATGCTTCCCATCGGTGAGTGTTGAAGAAGGGAAAGGAAGGCACCTTGTGGCAGTCTTACGGGAAGGAGTTAGGGCTCAGCATGTTGGGGCCTGAGTCCTGAGGGGAGGTTAAGTAGGAACAGGGAGATACCTGGCCTGCTGAGTCTGGCTGTCTCCCAGGCCTTTCAGACATCCCAGGTGAAGCCATGGTGAAGCTCTACTGCCCCAAGTGCATGGATGTGTACACACCCAAGTCATCAAGACACCATCACACGGATGGCGCCTACTTTGGCACTGGTTTCCCTCACATGCTCTTCATGGTGCATCCCGAGTACCGGCCCAAGAGACCCGCCAACCAGTTTGTGCCCAGGTAGGGAGCAGGGAGAGTCATTAAGGGTCAAAGGAAAGGCCTAAGATCCCCCAGAGAGAGGGGAGGATGGGGCATGGCCCTTTCTTGAGGCCTGCTTCTCCCAGAATCGGCATCTCCCTGCGGAGTGACTGTGGGAAAGTTATTTGATTGTCTGTGCTTCAGTTACCTTATCATAGAATGTTCTTGAGCTGAGAAGTTGGGAACCACTAGGCTTAAGCTCTGAGCAGGTCCATGGAGGAGTTCAGGTGGGGAGGTGGGAATGCAGGTGACTGGCAGGGTCTGGATGGGGCTCATGCTACTGCCTCTCTGACCTCTGCCCTGGTCCAGGCTCTACGGTTTCAAGATTCATCCGATGGCCTACCAGCTGCAGCTCCAAGCCGCCAGCAACTTCAAGAGCCCAGTCAAGACGATTCGCTGATTCCCTACCCCACCTGTCCTGCACTTCCTTTCCTTTTTGCCACCCTTTCAGGAACCCTGTATGGTTTTTAGTTTAAATTAAAGGAGTCATTATTGTGGTGGGAATATGAAATAAAGTGGAAGAAAAGGCCATGAGCTAGTCTGCTGGTGCTTGCGGTTGGGGAAGGGAAGGTGATGGTGTGTTGGACTTCAGGGGCCCTCATGGCCCAGCCCACCCTCCCCAGATTGAAAACCAGGACAGATTTGTGCTCAGTGAATTGGGTGATGTTTTTAGTATAGAGCAGAACAGAATTCCTAGGACTGTGTGTGATGAAGTGCAAGGTCAAAAGGAAAAGACAGAAAAAGCATGTTTTAAAGATGAGAAGTATTTGGATACCTGTGACTGTCTGTCTATACTGTAAGGTGCTTAATCAGCAACTCCATCTTTTAGTTTTAAAGGAAAAGTAGCCCTAAAGTCAGTATAACTAAGGGTGGAATGAGGTGGGACAAGGTCCAGAATTACTGCTCAGTGATGTGTGTGTGTGTGCTGCCTGCTGGTGGAGCTGGGACTGCCCATCTCAGAAGGATGGGGATGCTTGATTTCCAGGCCAGGTTGTCCCAGCACAGTGGGGACTGGCCCTGTTATATGAGAAGACAGCACATGGTGGCAGAGATAGACACTAAGCCATGGACTTTCCAAGGGAGGGAGTAGGTCTTTGGAGGGTATGCAGGACAAAGGTAGACACTGGATAAAGAACCAGATAGTGCCCAGATATTACCCCGTCTGGGCCATTGCTCCCACACTCAGGAACCAGACGTTGTGGGTGAGGACATGCTGTCCCTCCTGCCAAGTTAATAACTTCCTTCCCAACCAGGATCCTGCCCCAAGCAGGAATATAGCTCTGCATTTACAGCAGCTCCTCAGACCTTGTCAAAACCACCCTGCAACTCAGGATTAAGGAGCGTGGTCACAGGAAGGTGGGGTTTCAGGGCATCCCTCAGGAACTGCCCGTCTCCCCAGAATTCCATAATGAAGGCCCATATACTCGTAGGTGTGCTGGTCATGGTGGGCTTCACAGTGGGAAAGGGTAAGTGGGGCCCAGGGGCAGGGAGGGAGGAAGGGGTAATTGAGTTCAGGAAGGGGGTGGAACGTGGCTATGGATACTTGGGCTTCCTACTGGCCCAGGGTATTTGAGAGTGACCCAGTACCCCATCCCTCCTTCTGCCTTCCCAGTTCCTGTTCCCGACATCCGGACCTGCCACTTCTGCCTCTTAGAAGACCCTTCTGTAGGATGCATTTCAGGCTCAGAGAAGTGTACCATCAGCAGCTCATCCCCATGCATGGTGATCACCATCTATTATGGTAAATAAGGTCCCAGGAATGGGCTGCTGGTGGGGCAGCCAATGGCTTGATCTTTCCTGTCACAGATCAGGGCTGCTCCGGGCATGGGGTACAAGAAAGGAGGGGCTGAGTGCAATGGCTCATGCCTGTAACCCTAGCACTTCGGGAGGCTGAGGCAGGTGGATCACTTAAGCTCTAGAGTTCAAGACCAGTCTAGGCAACATAGTGAGACCCTGTCTCTACAAAAAAATAACGAGGCATGGTGGTGTGCACCTATAGTGCCAGCTACTTGGGAGGCTGAGGTGGGAGATCTCTTGAACTCAGGAGGCGGAGGTTGCAGTGAGCCAAGATTGTGCCACCACACACCAGCCTGAGTGACAGAGCCAGACCCTGTCTCAAAAAAAAAAAAAAAAAAAGTCTTAGAAGGAGGGGTTTAAGGTTCTAGGGGGCCAGCAGAGCTCACTTTTCTAGCCTCTTGAAGGAGTCTGGGTTAGAAGTCAGTCAGGTCTGGGTGAGGGATGGGAAAAGTCCGTAGTAGGGGTTCATGGACTATGGGAAGCTATTGGAAGGGGTTATCAGCTTTCCCCTCTCCCTCAGATGTCAAGGTTCGCTTCATCATTCGAGGCTGTGGACAATACTATTCCTACCGCTGCCAAGAAAAACGCAACACCTACTTCGTAGAGTACTGGTATCAGGCCCAGTGCTGCCAGTACGATTATTGCAACTCCTGGTCAAGCCCCCAACTCCAGAGCTTCCTGCCGGAGCCCCATGACAGGCCCCTGGCCCTGCCTCTGTCTGACTCCCAGATTCAGTGGTTCTACCAGGCCCTGAACCTCTCACTACCCGTCCCCAATTTCCATGCTGGGAAGGAGCCTGATGGCCTGGACCCCGTGGTCACACTGCCCCTGAACCTGGGCTTGTCTTTTGCTGAGCTGCGCCGCATGTACTTGTTCCTCAATAGTTCAGGACTTTTGCTTCTTCCCCAGCCTGGACTCTGACACCTCACCCTTCCTGAATTCCACTCTGTGCAAGTATCTTTCTGTAACACCCTCAGCATCCTGCACTGCCCTCTCTGAAAACACCCATATTCTTTGGTCACTGTGATTTCTTAGGCCTCCCTCTGTTGTACCACTAGCATCTATATGACTTTGGTGTAATTTTCTCTCTCGAACTTTGGTGCCCTTTTTTTGTTTGTTTGAGACGGGGTCTCGCTCTGTCACCCAGGCTGGAGTGTAGTGGCATGCTCTCTGCTCACTGCAACCTCCACCTCCTGGGTTCCAGCCATTCTCCTGCCTCAACCTCCTGAGTAGCTGGGACTACAGGTGTGCACCACCACGCGCAGCTAATTTTATGTATTTTTAGTGGAGACAGGGTTTGACCATGTTGGTCAGGCTGGTCTCAAACTTCTGACCTCGTAATCTGTCCGCCTTGGCCTCCCAAAGTGCTGGAATTACAGGTGTGAGCCACCGTGCCTGGCCGAGCTCTGGTGCTGTTCTTCCCCCCAGAAAAGAATCTCTAGTGTGGATTCTGCCCAGACAGGCTGACCTGGGAAAGGCACAGTGGTTCCTCCATTCCTTCCCCGTCTGAGTGTTCCAGTATCCCCCATCCCCCTCAATCCAGTCACCTGCCTATTTAGATCCAGCTCTGTTTCCCATCTCTAAGACTGAACTAGCAGCAAGAAAGATGAGGAGGCCGGGCACGGTGGCTAACGCCTGTAATCCCAGCACTTTGGGAGGCTGAGGTGGGTGGATCACTTGAGGTCAGGATTTTGAGACCAGCCTGGCCAACATGGTAAAACCCGCTGTCTGTTAAAAATACAAAAATTAGCCAAGTGTGGTGGCACACGCCTGTAATCCCAGCTACTCAGGAGGCTGAGGCAGGAGAATCACTTGAACCCGCTAGGCAGAGGTTGCAGTGAGCCAAGATTGTGCCACTGCACTCCAGCCTGGGTGACACAGCAAGACTCTGTCTCCAAACAAAAAGGATGAGGAATAGAATTCTGTGCAGACGCCCTGACTTGGCAATCTTGTGTCCCTGCCTCACTGTCTCCACCAACCCCGCCTGTCCTGGTCTTGTTCTGCCTTCTGTCCTCTCTCGTCAGTCTCTGGCCTCCTCGGCCCCATTTCACCTCACTGAGTCCTGACACCCACCTCCCTAGGGGCCTGTGGGAGGAGAGGGAAGGGTTTGTTCTGCTCAGCTCCATGTCCGCTGTTTCCCTCCACAATAAACTGGGACCGGGCTAAGACGGTGTCGCATTGTTCGTGGGGTCAGGCTAAGGTGTGGGCAGGTCAACACAGATTAAAGAGGGCGCAGTGGCTCATGCCTACAATACCAGCACTTCGGGAGGCTAAGGCAGGCGGATCATCTGAGGTTGGGAGTTTTGAGACCAGCCTGACCAGCATGGAGAAACCCCATCGCTACTAAAAATACAAAATTAGGCGTGATGGTGCATGCCTGTAATCCCAGCTACTTCGGAGGCTGAGGCAGGAGAATTGCTGGAACCTGGGAGGTGGAGGTTGCGGTGAGCTGAAATCGCACCATTGCACTCCAGACTGGGCAACAAGAGTGAAACTCTTGTCTTAAAAAAAAAAGGCCCGGTCGGCCGGGCGCGGTGGCTCAAGCCTGTAATCCCAGTACTTTGGGAGGCCGAGACGGGCGGATCACGAGGTCAGGAGATCGAGACCATCCTGGCTAACACGGTGAAACCCCGTCTCTACTACAAAATACAAAAAACTACCGGCGAGGTGCGGGCGCTGTAGTCTCAGCTACTCGGAAGAGGCTGAGGCAGGAAATGGGTGACGCCGGAGGCGACAGTCTTGCATGACTGAGACGCACTGCACTCCACCTGGGGACAGAGGAATCCATCTCAAAACAAAAAAAAAGAAAAAGGCCGGGCGGTGCTTGCCTGTAAATCCCAGCACTTAGGAGAGGCCGATGCAGATAGGTATTCTATGAGATCAGGAGGGTCGACCCAGCCTGATCACATGTGAGAGCCCTCCTCTAAAACAACAACAAACAGGACATGTAGCTGGGGATAGTGGCGGGTGTATCTAGCTACTCAGGAGGCTGAGGCAGGAGAATCGCTTGAACCCAGGAGGGCCAGAGGACGTGCAGTGAGCTGAGATCATGCCACTGTATCCAGCCCTGGGCGACAGATCCAAGACTCTGTCTCAAAAAAAAAAAAAAAAAAAAAAAAAAAAAAAAAAGAAACTTTCTCTTTAAACCAGAAAGACTCAGGAACTTAGAGCCACATCCCAGAGTCACCTGCTGCTGGGGCCCTGGACTCTTGCCATTCCTTAGTTCTTTTCAAGGATTCTGGCATCCATGATGCCCTCTCGGGGGCCCAAGTTGAGGGGCAAAGTGTGAGAGCACTGATGTTGGGCTGCAGTGGTTGGATCTTCATGTTAATATTTTAATTTTGAAATAGTGCAAATGTATAGAAAGCAATGACGGATACAACTCAGCTTTTTCCATACACTGGATAAACATGCTGGACATAACGCAGCTCTGAGTCAGGCTCAGTATTGAGCAGCAGGACTCCCAGATGAGTACAGCCAGGTGTCTGCCCTCCCAAGTCTTGCAGCCCAGTGCTTGGGTTATGAAACCTTTTTCTGAAAAGCAGTGCAGCTTTGTGGCTGGGAGGCCCAGTCCCAGCTCCTCTACCACTTGGGTACGTCAGTCTCTTCAGCCTCACCTTGGTCACCTGTCAGGTAGGGATAGTGCCTCAGATGATTGAGAAGGCGCATGTAAATGTGCATACATAAGTGGAAGTTAGGGCCTTTTCCCCCTCAAAAAAAATATATTTGCCCTAGAGTCAAATGCATACACAATGTTCGGCTTTTTTTTCTAAGGTTCTTGCTATGTTGCCCAAGCTGGCCTTGAACTCCTGGGCTCCAGAGATTCTTCTGCCTCAGCCTCCAGGTAGCTGGGACTACAGATGCACACCACTGTGCTCACCTGGCTGATTTACTTATTTTCAAACCTTTTTGTTAAAACATTCAGAAGCTTGCACATATCACAAGATGGATTTTTGTAAACTACACATCTGTGTAACCAGCCACAAAATCAGCGTGAAGACATTTACCTGCAGCCAAGCCTGCCTCTGTTCCCCTCCCAGGAGCTCTTCCCAGCTCTCTGGGGTAGCTGCTGTCCTGACTGGTAGTAGTTTAGATGAGTTCTGTCTGTGCTTGATGGAAATGGCATCATAAAGCATCTACTTTTACCTACAGTGTTTTGCACACGTGTTAACAAATCTCTGTGGCCTGTACTCTGACGGAAGACACCAATGATAATTAGGTCATGAAGCAGTTGGAGTACAAAGAGAGGTACAAACCCTTAATGTGCCCCCCAACCCCCACCTTGCTAGGTCCACCCTTCTCCGTGACCTCTGACGTCAGTATAAGACACAGAAAGGCCCAGGTTTATAGCAGGTCAACTTGGAAGACACCCTCAGAGGCTGAAGAACTTGGCCCGGAATTGAAGAGACCAAGACTCCAATAGGTCTAACGTCTCTTTGAGAGTGGCCTTCTCGGCTCAAGGGGGTGACTCACGCCTGTAATCCCAGCCCTTTGGGAGGCCAAGGCAGGCAGATCACTTGAAGTCAGGAGTTGGAGACCAGCCTTGCCAACATGGTGAAAACCCGTCTCTACTAATAAAATACAAAAATTAGCTGGACGTGGTGGCATGTGCTTGTAATCCCAGCTACTCGGGAGGCTGAGGCAGAAGAATCGCTTGAACCTGGGAGGCAGAGGTTGCGATGAGCCAAGATCACACCACTGCACTTCAGCCTGGGCGACAGTGAGACTCTGTCTCAAAAAAAAGAGTGGCCTTCTCACCCACCTCCTCCTACCTTAGCCTGGTCCTTTTGCAGCCCCCCTCCCACCAACATAGCCCTCTAAACCCCTCCAGCCCCTACACAGCTCCGGTCTGACAGCACTGCCGAGGATGCCCACTAACTTTCTGGCGTTCACCATAGGAGGGCTTTCATTTCCTTTTCCCCTTTTTGTGTCTAGAACGAATCACATACCAAGGCAGGACAGGAGCAGACCTCAGCAGAGCTGGGGGCCCCTTACCTGCCCCATGGTAGGGCAGTCAGGCAGGTGCACCTCCCTCAGCCTTTACCTCCACCAGAAGAAAAAGACATACTAAACAGTTTGCACACAAATTTATTTGGGAGAAACATCAGGGACTAAGGACAAGAGAGGAAACCTGGTGGGCGGTGGGGCTGGGGGTGCAGAGTGGGAGTAAGGGTGCTGAAGGGTGCCAACCAAGAGGAAGAGCCAAGGCTGGGGTCCACTGACTGGAGGGAGCCAAGGAGGGCTGGTATGAGGGACTAGAAGTCCTGGCCAAGCCCAGAAAGAAGTCAGGAAGGTGGCTGGAAACTGGTAGAATTTTACACCAAAGGTTGTTGCAGTCACACTAAGAAATATAGTGCCCTCTGTGTTGAGGGTCATTGCAGAAATCCAGGAAGCAGCATTGAGAGAATATCCAGAAGCCAGACACCGGAGAAGTTTCGGTATTTGAACAATCACTCATCTGCTCCTTACTTCGGCAGTCACTCACCATGACATCAGAATTGCTGCCTGGGGAGGGACCACAGGCACCAGTGATACGGAAGTCCCCAGGAGGAGCCCCAAATCCTCTCATCCCCTCACTTATAAGTCAAAAAAAGAAAAAGAAAAAGAAAAGATTCCTGTGGTTAGGCATGGGTGGACATGCCCAGTGTTCACTAGCCATGGAACTCCACTGAAGTTCCCATGCAAGGCTGGAGGAAAAGAAATGGTTGGAGGGGGAGTTGGGAGTTACTGAGCCAAGTGGGGAGAACTAGCACCATAGGACCATGTGAGAAAAAGCTGGGAAATGTTTTGGAGATTGGGTGGCAGGAAGGAGGTGTTCTGTTACTTATTTTTCAGATCAAAAGTAAGAGAATAAGATGATGTCTGCTGCTGTTATATGTAACAGGGAAAAATCTTTGTGCCTGCATCCCAAGAAGTCATGTACAGGGATGTTTGCTGCTGCCCTGCTTGAGAGAAATGACCGAAATGCCCATTAATAGTGGGATGGGGAAATCAGCTGTGATATGCCCATGCTATGGGGTAGTACACCGCAGGTCAATAAAACAAAGAAGCTGTTCACAAACTGATATTGGAACATTCAATTCCCCTAACTGTTAAGTGCAGAATAATGTTTACAGTGGGATGCTACTATCTTGTTGGGGGGGAGAAAAAGAGGTGAAAAAATAGTAAACAGCATACTTGTGCAGGGTGGAATGTGCATAAAAGATTGCAGGAGGGCCCCGTCTCTACTAAAAAAAAATACAAAAAACTAGCCGGGCGAGGTGGCGGGCGCCTGTAGTCCCAGCTACTGGGGAGGCTGAGGCAGGAGAATGGCGTAAACCCGGGAGGCGGAGCTTGCAGTGAGCTGAGATCCAGCCACAGCACTCCAGCCTGGGCGACAGAGCGAGACTCCGTCTCAAAAAAAAAAAAAAAGATTGCAGGAGGGATCATCCACAAAGTAAAAAAAAGTGGTTACGTGTGCAGGGGAGCCAGGTGGGTTAGGGTAGTAGCGGGAGACTTTGGTTTGACAGTACTTTATACTCTGATATTTGACGCATGTCTGTGCATCGGCTATGTTAAAAGAGTAATAAGAGGATTTGAACACAGGCTGCTGCATGCAGTGGTTGTTGAGAGCACCATCTCTGGAGCCATCACAAATTCTGGCTCAGCATCTGTGAGACTCAGGCAAGGTTATGACCTTTCTGCACCTCAGTTTCCTCATCTGTAAAATGCGGATAGTAGTAATACCTGCCTCAGCGGATTGCAAGTGTTTAGAATAGTGCCTAGCACATATTATGGTTATGTTTTTGCTAACTTAAGGAAGGTGGGGGGGTCGGTGGAAGAGCAGGCATCAGGAAGGAGTCAGTTTTCAGCGAGGGAGATGTCCAATGGCCAACGGGATATGAGGAGAGTAGTTTGACATAATATTCAGATTCAGAAGGAAGTGGTATGTGGCTGCTGGTTGAAGCCAGCAAAGCAGATAAAATCCTCTGAGTATATGAAGTGGGAACACAGCTAAGGACCAAACCTTGGTGAACATGAACCACTAAGGGTCAGAGAGAAAACACTCCATGAAGGAGACTGAAGAAGCAGTAGAGGATGCAGGAGAAGAGCAACGCCAGCAGTAACTGCACACAGATGGGGGAGCAGGCAGCTTGAGGACAGGCAAGGGCACGTGGAGATCTGGAGGGTCCCCATCAAAGCTGCACACCTTGAAAGGGTGGAAGCTATTCAGCTACAGATTGAGGAGAGAAAGTAGTGGAAGTGGAGACAGAGTGTGGCTCTGAAGAAAAGGAAAGAGAGGCTGGGCATGGTGGCTCATGCCTGTAATTCCAGCACTTTGGGAAGCCGAGGTCAGTGGATCACCTGAGGTCAGGAGTTCGAGACCAGCCTGGCCAACATGGTGAATCCCTATCTCTACTAAAAATACAAAAAATTAGCTGGGCGTGGTGGCGTGCACCTTTAATCCCAGCTGCTTGGGAGACTGAGGCACAAGAACTGCTTGAACTGGGGAGGTGGACATTGTAGTGAGCCAAGATTATGACACTGCACTCCAGCCTGGGTGACAGAGCAGCAAAAATAGTAATAATAATAATAATAATAATAAAAAGACAGGATTAGAGCAGTGTCTTATGGGATTATGGGAAGAAGACTTGGGGTGCAGCTTAGGAGGCCGAGAGAGTTTCAGTTTGGGAGAGTGCTGGGCCCACGACAGGAGAAGGTCACTTACCGTTCTTTATGTGGAGAGTGATGCAGCTGCTGCCAGCCGGGGTGAGGCAGGTGTCAGATCCCAGAAGGCACCCTAACTCCTTGGTCTCCAAGAGGCATCGGTAGCAGCGCAGGTATTTGGGGACTGGAAGTGGTTGAGGGCGTTCCCAATTGACAGGAACAAACTTACCTAGAACACAGAGAAGTGCTGACCCCACTCACACCCCATTCTCCCTCACACCCCACCACTGTCTGATTGCAGGCCACTCAACCCCACTGCTCCCTCCCTTCCTATCTCAGAAAACCATCAAAGCCCCAATTCTCTGCTTCCTTCCCCAACTGCATACACATACATCCCCCTTTTCCTCTGGTCCTAAGGCCAGGCCACACGTTAACAAGTCCCCGAACCCAGCAGAGCATTTGGTGTGAGGCAGAGGAAAGTGCTAAACGAACACTTTGAATCCTGTGTGTCTGTGGCTGGTGCTTTGCAGCCAAGTGGGGAGCCCAGCAGGCTGGACTCAGTCTTGTTCTATCCTGTGGATTCTAGTTCTGTCATCCAGCACACTCCCTAAACCTCCCTATTCCATGTTGCCCTCAGATCTGGAGAAGATTCCTTCAGTATCTCTATTCAGGTCACTGCTGTGAAGTGAGACAGCCCTGGGGTGGTCACTAGAAATCTTCAGAGGCTGGGTGTGGTGGCTCATGCCTGTAACCCCAGCACTTTGGGAGGCTGAGGTGGGCAGATACCTGAGGTCAGGAGTTCAAGACCAGCCTGGCCAACATGGCGAAACCCTGTCTCTACTAAAAATACAAAAATAAGCTGGGCATGGTGGCTCATGCCTATAATCTCAGTTACTCGGGAGGCTGAGGCATGAGAATGGCTTGAACCCGGGAGGCGGAGGTTGCAGTGAGCCGAGATCTCACCACTGTACTCCAGCCTGGGAGACAGAGCAAGACTCCATCTCAATAAATAAATAAATAAATAAATCTTCAGATTGCGTATCAGTCCATGAGCAGGCATTCCCCACCAAACCCATCCATTCCATCTCTCCTCCTGCATGGGTTTACCTGAGCATCCTGGACAAATGTACCCAGACGCTTGGTGTCTGTGGGTTTCTCCATCCAGCAGGCCAGGAGACCCTTCTGAACCCTTGGAACCACTTACCAAACACCAAGCTCATCATGACCAGCACTATTAAGAGGACGGTGTACAGGGCTTGGAGGCTGCTGTGGAAGCACATGGGACCCGGATTCTGGCTCCCTGCAGGGCCTGCCATAAAACGCATGACTGCCTGCTGGCCTCCAGTTTGGGCTTATATTGGTGGAAGAGAGGTTGGCCAAGAGGAAGGAGAGAGGCAACACCAACTCAGGGTGGAAATCAGTGCCAGACCAGCCAGAGGGGCAGAATGTTCTCACCCACAGCCACTCTGGGGCATAACATCCTGCTTGAGGGCAGGGGTCCAGCAATAGGGGAATGAGAAAGGGAACTTTATTTCCTATTAATTGGACAGATGTTTATTGAATCACTGCATCAGGTCTTGGGGATACAACCGTGCACAAAGTCTCCACCCTCACAGGGCACAGTCCAGTAGGGGAGACAAGTCAATCGTCAATGATGTGGGGAGGGCAGAGTGCTGCCAGGAGCACCTCGACAGTTAAACCACTGACCTGAGGGATTTCGGCAGAGGAGTAACCTGATCCGATTTCTGTTTGTAAAAGATTGTCATGGCTGCACATTGCATTTGGGTCAAGAGTGGAGGCCGCCGGGAAGTAGCACGCTATTCCCAAATCCGGTCACAAGATGGCGGACTGGTCCAGCAGAAGATGGGCAGGGACGAGGAGGCGGGGCTACTGAACCTGAGATACATTTAGAAGACTGGACAGATTTGCTGTTGGACTGAACGAGGGATGAGGGAACTGGGGTAGGCTTGCACAAAGAAGTGGTACCATTTTCCAAGACAGGAAACGTGGTCCGTCTCAAAAAAAAAAAGAAAAAAAGCAAACAAAAAAACACACCAGAAAATAGGGGGTGCCCAGTCCCACTTCTCATACCCTGGGGACACCTGTCAGACATCCCAAAACGAGGACACCTGGATCCCAAGCGATACGTACTCAGCTCAGTGTCCCCTTGGGGTTCCGGGAACCCAGCGCCTTCCCCCACCTCATCCTTTTTCCTGCCCCGCCTAAGTTCAGCTGCGGCTCAGTGGGCCTGATCTCCGGCGCCCACAGAATCTGGCGCAGCGCGTTCGCTCTCCGCGCCTGACAGCACCTCAGAGCTCCGGTAGGACGCGGGGGTGGCCCCCTGCTCAAGCTCTGTTCCCAGGGGAAGAAACCTGGGAAGTGCCAACCGCAGGTCGGGACCCAAACGTCTGGCCCCAGCGGACATCCAGAGCCTGAGGCGGCTCCCCAGAAAGGCGGCGCCGTAGCGCCACCCCACCTCCCAGGCGAATTCTGGAGATCGCGGCACAAGGCGTCTCACCCGTTTTCTCCACTGGGGACCCGCTGGGCTTCCCAACCTCGCCTATTCGGTCCCCACCCCGCCAGCTCAGTCTTGACTCAGAAACTCCGTGTTTTTACTTTTAGGATCGTTTGGCTGTGGGTTAGGGGCGGAGAGCGTCCTCAGCGTCCGGGAACGACACCACCTGCTCCAATTTCCCGTCTGGAGGTTCTGGTCGGTCGAGGCTCCGAACTCGGGTTCCCTGCCACCTCCCAGACTATCCAAGAACTATCCAGTCTCAGGATGATAACAGGGAAGATGGGAAGAAACAGACGGGAGAGGCCCTCCCAAAAAGACTGAGGGAAGAAAGAAATATGAGAGGCAACAAGCACGCCACTGAGCACTCCCCAAGAGTCTTGGAATGAATAAATTTAAAAACTATATTACAGCCGGACTGCGGTGGCTCACACCTATAATCCTAGCACTTTAGGAGGCCAAGGTGGGTGGATCACCTGAGGTCAGGATTTCGCGACCAGCCTGGCTAACATGGTGAAACCCCGTTTCTACTACAAATACAAAAAATTAGCCGGGCGTGGTGGCGCGCACCGGCAGGAGAATCGCTTGAACACGGGAGGCGGAGGTTGCAGTGAGCCGAGATCGCGTCATTGCACTCCAACTTGGGCAACAAGAATGAAACTCCATCTCAAAAAAACAAAAATAACAACAACAAACTGTATTAGGCTGGGCGCAGTGGCTTACACTGGGCCCAGTGGCTCACAACTGTAACCCCATTACCTTGGGAGGCCAAGGAGGGAGGATCTCTTGAGCCCAAAAGTTGGAGACCAGTCTGGGCAACATAGCGAGAACCCATCCCTACAAGAAAAAGTAGAAAACAATTAGCAGGGCGTGGCGGCGTGTGCCTTTAGTCCCAGCTACTCGGGAGGCTGAGGTGGGAGGATCGCTTGAACCCAGGAGGTCGAGGCTGCAGTGATCGCGCCACTGCTGTCTCAAATAACAACAATGATAATACTTTAAAAATAAAATAAATTGACCTGGCCCGGTGGCTCATGCCTGTAATCCCAGCACTTTGGGAGGCCAAGGTAGGGGGATCATTCGAGGTCAGGAGTTTGCAACCAGCCTGAGCAACATGGTGAAACCCCGTCTCTACCAAAAATACAAAAACATTAGCCAGGTGTGGTGGCACCCTCCTGTAATCCCAGCTACTCGGGAGACTGAGGCAGGAGAATCGCTTGAACCTGGGAGGCGGAGGTTGCAGTGAGCCGAGATCACATCACTGCACTCTAGCCTGGGCGACAGAGTGAGACTCCGTCCTAAATAAATAAAATAAAATAAAATAAAATAAAATAAATTGTATTAGAGAAAAGCCAGAGTAGTGGAGAACCGGGGAGGAACGCCGGGCACCTACATAAATGTCTTGAATGAATGAGTGCACAGAGCGATAGACAAAAAGAATCAGAGGGCCGGGCGCGGTGGCTCACGCCTGCAATCCTAGCACTTTGGGAGGCCAAGGCGGGCGGATCACAAGGTCAAGAGATCCTGCCGGGCGCAGTGGCTCATGCCTGTAATCCCAGCACTTTCGGAGGCTGAGGCGGGTGGATCGCCTGAGGTCAGGAGTTCAAGACCAGCCTGGCCCAACATGGTGAAACCCCGTCTCTACTAGAAATACAAAAAATTAGCCGGGCATGGTGGCATGCGTCTGTAATCCCAGCTACTCAGGAGGCTGAGGCAGGAGAATTGCTTGAACCCGGGAGGTGGAGGGTGTAGTGAGCTGAGATTGTACCATTGCACTCCAGCCTGGGCAACAAGAGAGAAACTCCATCTCAAAAAAAAAAAAAAAAAAAAAAAGAGAGAGAGAGAGAGAGAGAGATCGAGACCATCCTAGAAAATATGGTGAAACCCCGTCTCTACTAAACATATAAAAATTAGCCGGGAGCGGTGGCGCGCGCCTGTAGTCCCAGCTACTCAGGAGGCTGAGGCAGGAGAATCGCTTGAACCCGGGAGGAGGAGGTTGCAGTGAGCCGAGATCGCGCCATTGCACTCCAGCCTGGTTAGGGGAATGGAACGAGGCAAATGAGGGGCGGGGCTGCAGATGACCCGGCCGGGAGAGGGCCTTGGTCTGTTCCGGAAGCGGATCGAGACTGCGTCCTAGAGAGGAACCAGAGAGAGAGGGTCTTTAACCTAAATATAAAGACGGAGCAAGACTCCGCCTCAAAAAAAAAAAACAAAAAAAACACAAATAATAAAAAGAATCAGAGAGCCAAGGCTCCTCTTGAAGCGAAGAGGGCAAAGGGCAAAGGGGAAGCACAGGGGAACCTCATGGCGCCCTCTGAAGCTCCCTCTCGAATATAATCGCAACGAAAAGGTCAACGACTAGAGGCTTTGCGAGGCTGAGGCTGGGCTTCCGGAGGGGATCACCCTGAGAGGTCCGGGAGGACTTCCTGTGGAATCAAGCGACCGTGGGCCTCGAGGGAACAGGGGGGCAGGACACTCCCTCACTATTCGCGGAGTATTTCCTTGAATTAGTACTTCGAGGAGGGGTGAGACCGGGACAGGGTGGGGCCTTCTTAGGAGGGGGCGCGGCCTCTGAGGAATTAATCCCGTTTTGGTTGCGTTTTGCTCCTCCCCTGTCGACGGGGCAGGGCCAGCCCAATGCGTGCTAGGAGTCCGGAGAGTTCGTTTCCATGGTGACGGGTTCCGCTAAGGTTTTCCTGGGGTGAAGAGGCAGGGCGTTGAAATAGTCGCCATGGCAACAGCAGCAGAGGACAGTATCCTTGCTGAGTGCTCCTACCTAGAGTTAAGGTAAGCAACCGAGTGACGAAACAAAGAAGGCGGGGCCTGACGACAGAACGCCAAGGTTAGGGGAATGGAGCGAGGCAAATGAGGGGCGGGGCTGTAGATGACCCGGCCAGGAGACGGCCTTGGTCTGCTTCGGGAGCGGCTCGAGACTGCGTTCTAGAGAGGAACCAGAGAGAGGGTCTTTAACCTAAATATAAATGAATGACTGGATTCCTGAAGAATCCGGTATGGCTTGATTGGATGGATGGGTGGATGGATGGATGGACAGACGGACGGACGGATGGGTGGACGGAAATCTGGCTATCGCTGACGCCTGAGCTCCCCACCCTCTCGGGCCCTCCACCTCCGGAGCCCTCACTCGCTTGTGACAGTCGTGCGAGAAACACATGCCTCTCCTAGGAGCAAACCCTCAACCCAAGCAGGCAGCCCAGAGCCAGTCCAGCACCTCATACTGGAGGCATTCAGGGTGGAGCTTAGGTCAATGAGACGGCATAGGATGAGGCTTTTTGGCCCAGGCGGGAGCCACTTCTTCACAGGTTGCCCGTCCAGGGTGTAACTTTCCTTTCTCCCAGCGCCATTTTCTCTCCTAGTTTGCCCAGCTCCTCAGGGTGCCTGGACTTTCAGGCCTCACCCTGTGTCCAGTGTAGAAGGGTCCAGCGCCCCAGCAACTGTGGGCGTCTGCATCTCTGCTGATCATCCCCTGGAACTGCTGGAACTTTGCTGTATAGAGTGAGGAGCGGACAGGGGCCTGGTCCCACCTCTGGGTGGGGATTGGGTCTGAAAACAAACACAGCTGCTCTGAACCTTATTGCATAACGAGTAATCTGAAGTAGGCTGAGGCCCCTGGGTGGGGGGTTCAGAATTCACATGTTGAGCCTCCCTTTCCCTACCCAATTTCTGGTATCTAACGGCCCCTCAGGGCATCCACTGTTCTCTACAATTACACGCAGGAAGATGGGGGAAAGTGGCAGTAGGGGCAGTTCAGCAGAGTCCCTAATGGACATGTCCAGAGAGGGGTGTCCTTTGTCCCCAGGGTAAGGGAGGTGAGACTGGGCACCCTTTTGGGTTTTTTTTTTTTTTTTGAGACAGAGTCTCACTCTGTCACCTAAGCTGGAGTCCAGTGGCACTATCACAGGTCACTTCAGCCTCAACCTACTGTGATCCTCAACCAAGCGATCCTCTTACCTCAGCCTCCAGAGTATCTGGGACCACGGGTGCATGCCACCATGCCTGGCTAATTTTTTAATTTTTTGTAGCGATGGAGTCTCCCTATGTTGCCCTGTCTAGTCTTGAACTTTTAGGCTCAAGTGATCCTCCTGCCCCAGCCTCCCAAAGTGCCGGGATTACAGATGTGAGCCACCATGCCCAGCTCCTGTTTGCATTTAAGGAGCTTCCCTTAGCTGAACAAAAATTTGGTTTCCAGGGGATTAACTGTTTTGTTGGATCTGGGAGGGCGGGATTCAGAACTGTGCAGCTGGCTCCAGAACTTCATGTTCTACACTTCCCATCATTTGCCCCCTGGAATGGGACAGAGGAGAGGGCACCAGTATCAGCTGTCCACCTGTTTGCTAATGGTGGAGCATTATGGAGCTGTGGTCACCTCCCTCTTCTAACTCCAAATTTCAGGCATCACATCACCTGATTAAGTCTCAGATCTCTACTTCCAGTGGAGACTCAGTATACCTTCCCTTAAGGAGTTGCAGTGCTAATGGGGGCACACACAGCCTCTGCCCTGGGGGTTACAGATGAGCTTCATGCACTGGGTTTGGAGAAGACACAGAAATTTAGCCAGAGACTCTATCTAGGACATCAGAACATTGTTGCCCATGTTAAGCATCTTGCTCAAAACAATGGACTTGGGTGAGACAGGTGGATTGCCTGAGCTCAGGAGTTTGAGACCAGCCTGGGCAACATGGTGAAACCTCTACTAAAATACGAAAAATTAGCTGTGCGTGGTGGCGCACACCTGTAATCCCAGATGCTTGGGAGGCTGAGACAGGAGAATCGCTTGAACTTGGGAGACAGAGGTTGCAATGAGCCGAGATCGTGCCACTGCACTCCAGCCTGGGCGACAGAGAATCCATCTCAAAAAACAAACAAAAAACCACCCCCAACAAAACAAAACAAAACCACAATGGACTCAGGGTGATAAGCCTTGGGGTCTTTCATCTGGAAAAGAGAAGTTTCCAAATGAAAAAGTGGCCGTCGGCCAGGTGCAGTGGCTCACGCCTGTAATCCCAGCACTTCGGGAGGCCGAGGCGGGCGGATCACCTGAGGTCAGGAGTTTGAGACCAGCCTGGCCAACATGGTGAAACCTCGTCTTTACTAAATATACAAAAATTAGACAGGCATGGTGGCGCACGCCTGTAATCCCAGCTACTACTAGTGGGGCTGAGGCAGGAAGATCGCTTGAACCTGGGAGGCGGAGGTTGCAGTGAGCTGAGATTGTGCCACTGCACTCCAGCCTGGCCAACAGAGTGAGACTCCGTCTCAAAAAAAAAAAAAACCAGGCAACAAACCAGTGGAAGAGGGACTCATTCATTGTGTTCCACAAGGTCCAAAGATTAGCGATAGATGAAAGTTATGGGGAGCCAATGTCCTCAGGTACAGCCTAAGCTGCTTTTTCTAACAGAGCTGTCCAAAAGGCAAAATATGGCTCTGAGAAGACAAGACTCCTTGGCACCTGGCCCTCAGGCCCTGGCAGGGCCTGTGTTTGCTGAACTGCAAAAAGGCTATGAGGACAGAGACTTGATGACATGGCAAGGTGGGTGTGCAGGGTTTGCTGCATAAGACATGGGGAGCAGGCCCTTCCTTACTCCTCACGAGGAAAACAAGAGGTGAGCAAGGAAAATTAGGGGCACTGCTAGTAACATCATGCAGGTTGAACCTGGAAACCAATAGAAGCACTGGGTAGGTGAAATTGGATCCTAGAAAGCTCACGAGCCATAAGCAGGAGGGGGCAACCATAGGCTCCTGGGGTGGTTGTATGCAGGAAGAACTGAGGAAGGAGGTGGGATGGGCCAGGGAGGCTGCACAGTTGTGGTAACAGTAGGCACACCAGGGAAGGGGGAGGTTTGGGGACCCGCTGCCTGAAGATAGCTCAGGTTAGGGGCTGAAGGCCTGGGAGGACACAGAGATGGGAAGGGTTAGATGAGCTGTCTAGGGTTAGGGTTTCCCAAAGCCTCTTTGGGGCCTCTGCTCTCCTCATTACCTGCCTCTGGCTCCCCGGACACTTGAGAAGTTATATAATTAGCCAGATAGTAGAAAAAATACCTTTTTATTATTAGGAATAATTCATTCATGTAATGCAAGATGTATGTTGGAGAAGGTTAAGTATAGCCACATGAATGAGGGGAAACGAGCAAGAGGAACAGTGGTGACAAGGGGGATGGTCCCCCACTTTCCACAAACTATAAACAGCAACATGAACACAGAGAATCACAAATAAGGGAGTCTTTCCTCATGTCTCCTCTCACCCCATTCTTCCATAATGAGTCCCAGTGTGGTCCCTAGAGGTGCCAGGGCATCTGGAAGTTCTGGGCTGGGAGTGGGGTGCAGTGAGTGGCCTCAAAGTTGTGCAGATGCTTCCGAGCCTGAGGAAAGGTGGTGGGACAGGTGGGGTACAGAGCACTGTAGGGAGGGGCAACCACTGGACTCCCTCCCCACCCTTCGCCTCCGCACCCACCACCCACTCTACAAAAGCTGCCACTTCCAATGCTTATAGGGTATTCCCAGTCCCCCTATGTGAGCCCTGGCCATTCAAGAACCCTTCCCACTTCCCACTCAGCTCACCAGAAACAAAGCCAGCTGCCGCCGTCCATCTGCACTCATGTCCTCCCCTGCCGAGAGGAGATGCTCAAAACAGGCCACACATGTGGGTATTCATCCCGTTCCTAGGCTCTTCCCACCCCCTTTCCTGCCCCAGGAGCTCCTTACCCACGCTCCAGGGGAAGTCAGGCCCGTGTTCTGCCTGGTAGGAGCGGAGGACAGACAGACACCAGTCCTCTTCCACCTCCCATCGGCTGTAAATTGAGGCTGGTCAGGAAGAGAGATGACAGCCCGTCAGCAACCTGACCTTGCTGGGCCCCCGCCCCAAGCCTCACTGGATCCCTTCTCACCTTCCTCCAGCTGTGAGGAGGCCTCCAACCACTGCCTCACCACTTGAAGACCCTCCTCTGCCATCACCCGGGGATACCTACAGAGGAAGCGCCGGGACAGGTCAGGGCTGATTTTTTTCATTCACCATTCCTGAGCCTTTCTCCCTCCTTCCCTATGCTGGTGTCGGTATCTGTGCGTGTACACTGCTCCCAGCACGCACACACCCTGGCTCTCACCGATGCTGCAGGAGCTTCAGCAGGAGGTCATTGCCTCGGTTGGACATGATGTCCTCAGGAACCCTAGGGGTGAGAAGAATGTACCCTGGAGGGGCTGGAGGTTAGGAGGAAAGGTCTAGATACCCGGGTTTCTGGTGAGCAGAGGTGGGAGGGGAAAATTCCTGGCCATCTCTGGGATTGGCGAGGGCCGACCTTCCCAAGCACTCACGTGGTAGTGATGATCTCATCCTTGGTTCTCCGGATCAGCAGTACAGGACCCAGGTATCTTCAGAGAACAGAGCAGTGGGAAGGGAGAGCTCAGAGGGAGACAGGTGACAACTGGCCCACCCCCATCCCCGCACTGGAAGCATTCTTATCCCCTGCTACAGCACAGTCTGTGACCAAGCCCTTCACTCAGGGGTGAGAGGGAATATTTAAGAATGGGCATGGTTCAGTCTGGCCCTGCTGGGAGACCCCTGCTGTACCAGGCCTTAACCTTTTGGTTACCAGATCCTGAGGTGGTCCAGAGTCCCAGGGGACCTGGGAGGGCCAGTTGAGGCCAGTTGAGGTGGTGGCAGGGTCACTTGGGATGTGATCCAGTGGCCTTTTACCAACTTGCACTTTAGTACTGGTTTCAGCGTTTAAGTGCCCAGCAGAGCTGTTTAGGGGGCAGGTGTTCGATGCTGGATGCTGGCCGGCGCTCACCTGCACAGCTGCTCCGCATTGTTTAGATTGAGATGCTGCCTCACGGTCCTGGTCACCAGGCCCCCTAGAGTGGGATAAAGGTGAAGGGATGGCAGAGACAAAGCCTTTGCCCAACATAAAGGTCCTCACTGTTCACGGAGAAAGAAAACTGAGGCCCCCAGACAAAGGAGTCCTCCTGCTTCCAACAATGGGGTGACTTACACCCCACCCAAGGAAAAGGGGGCCATCTCAGTTAGAACAGTTCCCAGTTCCAGACCACCCCTTCCCAGGAAGGGCAGGCCTGGGAGATGCACTCACTCCAGCTGTCTGGCATGACCTTCAAGGCCAAGGGCACCAGGTCATCAAAGGAGGCATCCAGGATCACGGCACTAACATCTGGGTAGGACATGGCGGCCCACGTGGCTGGTACCAGGGCAGGGAAGAAAAGTAAGAACTGAGAAAGGCTCCTTTCTCCTCACCACCCATGCTCTCATCCCACTTACCCTGTAGGCCAACCCCATTCCCCCTATGTTATTCCTTGTTTTTTTTCTTAACCTACTTCATTTGGTCAGGGAACTGTCTGGAGAGGATGGGGATAGAACACTGGAGACAGTGCACTGAAGATAACAGGCAGGAAACATTCACTTTCCGTGATCTCCCCACCCAGGACCTGGGTCTGCTTTTCCTTTTAATGACTGGGCACAAGAGGGGAAGGAAAGGTGAAGTGTATACAAATACGATAGCTTCTTCCAGGCCCACTCAGAGATTCTACTTCCTCTCTCTTCTTCCTTGAGCCTCCACCCCACCCCAGGGCCACCAGTGCATTTCCCCACCTCTCCTGGGTGGGGCTGGGTGGTCATGAATGTGTCTAAAGTGGGGGGATGGGAGGGAGGCTGGTACCAGTGAAGCCACCAATGGACCAGGCGTAGATGATGATGTCCTGGGGCTGGAAGCCCAGGCGGTGGATGGCAAACTGGACCACCACATCCATGGCATTGGCCTCATTCTGCGGGAACGGCACTCCCTACAGGAAGAAGGGCAAAGTCAGGATTGTGTCAGCACCAAAGGCCAGCTCACCTGTCCCTCCCAACGTGGACCCCTCCTGCAGCCACCTATGACAGACAGAGAAGGTGTAGAAGGAAGGGATGGTAGGAGAGGTTGTTCTTTCCAGAAGACAGATGTGTACAATGAGATCCACTTCCACCTCTCCCGCCAGCCCCCCACTATGGGGATGGGGGCATGGCTCCCAATTCTGCCTTCACAACCTCCTAGCCCCCAGCTCTCAGATGAGTGGGAGGCCCTTCAAGAAATCCACAGCCCCTCTCCTCCCTCCAATGGCTGACCAGAGGGAAACAGACATAATTCAGGAAAAGGAAGGGATTCCTGAGATGGTCTCACCGTGCTTCCAGCAAAGCCTGGATGATTCCAGCCCAGGACTGAATATCCAGCTGTAACAAAGAGGGAGGAGGAACTGAGACCTTATGGCCCACACCCCTTTCTCCATCCCTGGGGGAAGGAAGAGCAGAAGTACTCCCCAGCTTAGAGGCAAATAACTGCAAGCCTTCCCAGAATAGGAGATGACACCAAAGGTTCTGAGGCAGTACAGGGAGAGGCGTGTGACTGTGTGGGGTGTGTGATAGGGGAATGGAACAGAATGAAAAGCATAATTAGGGACACAGGCCAGGGGAGGGATGTAAGGTTATCAAAGCAAATGGCGAGTGGACTTTTCCCTAAAGCTGAGAGACTCAAAACCTCACCCAGAGAAAGTGGAGGCCAGGGGAGGTCAGATCAGTGTGGGAGGCAGGGACATTCCCTTCAAAGGGCAGAGACAAGGAGGCTGAGTCACCATCCTACCTTCCAGGGGTGTGGAGATGCAGCCCACCTCGTAAAACCCAGCATTCCCCTCACAGCAGATCACCTAGGAAGGAGGCAGGAAGGAAGGGCTGGGGGGCCAAGTTGGGACTGAAAAACTCCCTTTGGGCAAGGAGGGCAGCCCATGAAGAGCTTTGCAGGGAAGAGGAAAGGGCAGGTCTCTGTTTTCTCCAAGGGGAATGGAAGCTTCTCATTCCACAGGGTCCATAAGAGGAGAAGCAAAGGGATTACAAATACTCCTCAGAGGCTGAACTGCTTGACCACCCAGCCATGTCCACTTTTCCTTGGAAGATTACCAGCTGGGTCTCTCTCAGGAAAAGGACTATGGAGATGTTTTTCCTTTCTAGTTTTCGGGTCTGTTATCTTCTGTGACCATTGCTATTGTGTGGTATGCTGACTGCTCTCTCTGTCCCTCTCTGACTGCTCTCCCTATCCCTCTCTGAGCTCCAGTCTTATGGTCAGATAACTGTAATGCCATGGCGCCCCAAGCTGAAGCCCACGGGTGGTGGGATTTGCATGAACTGTCATAGCAGATGGGCAGAGCCAGGACTAGAACCCAGCTCCCTAGACTCCTGGCTTAGTGCTCTTTCCATGGCTGCTTCATGGAGGCAGAAGACTTTGAAGCCAGGCTGCGTGGGTCCAAATACCAGCTCTACTACTTACTGTGAGGTCCAGGAAAGGTTTTCTGTGCCTCAGTTTCATCTCCTATAAAATGGGCTAACATAAGCAGTAACTATCTCACGGATTGTTGTGAGAATTAAATATATATGCTTCATATATACATATGAGAAATATATGTAAGTGTGAAGTGCTGTCGAAGTGGTAACTATTAATATTAGTTTCTGGTTCTTGAATGTCTCTCCTACTTCATCTGTTTCTCTATCACAGGGTTTCACTACATCACAAGGTCTTTAGGGTGGAGCTAAGAGATGGGATTATCCCAGTAGTGGTTCCTCCAGGGAGATGCTATAGCATTGGGGTCCCCAGACCTCTACTGCCTTCCTCACAGTCACCCCACCTCTGGGATCCCTGCTCCCTCTTACCAGCTTCTGTCCCTGGGGCTGAGCTGTCCCCCGCCGGTCCATAAACATGGTGTCAATCTCATTGCCATCACAGGCCAGCAGCTTTGCCCGGCGCCCATTACACTGAGTAGGGGAGATGCAATGGCCAGGTTGCCAAGGGGCAGAAGGCCACATGACAAGGGTGGGGCAGGCTAGGTGGGGGTGGGAGGGGAGGGCTATAGGGGATGGGCGGGCAGGGAAGCCTCACCTCTTCCACCAGTCGGGCCTGGCCCTGCAGCAGCACAGGCATGAGGGCCTTCTGGAGCAGGTACACAGAGCCTGGATACAGCATCCGGCGCCCCAGGGTGTGCGCCACCAGGTAGCTGTGGGGAACACAGGTTAACAAACCCCAACCCTGGTGAGGCGTGGGAACTGTGCTGGGGACACTGTGCTGGGGACACTCACAGACTGTAAGGCCTGCTTCACCTCTGACTTTCACAGCTTTACTTTCCTCTTTCAAGCCTTAATGAAATATGTACTAGGCTGATGTTTTTCAAACTTTTCTTAGTGCAACCTTTGTAAGATAAATATTTTATATTGTGGCTCAGTACACATATATCCTGTATGTACAGAATTCTGAGAGTTTTATGATGTACTTTCTATACATAATAAATGCAAAGTTATCAGATTATGATTTCTTAAAATCTAAGTACAACATATTAAAGGTCCCCAAATAAATAATACTTTAAAAAATGATGGTTGTAATTCAAAACCTCAAATATGGCTTCCCTTCCTGACCAATTAGCACACTGTCAACGACCAACCACTAAGTCCACCCTGTTCCCTGGTATTCTAGAAGCTGCCTCCTAACTCCCAGCAATAGAAAATTCCCAGTGTCTGTTCCACTGTAAGATATAGGTGGTTATTTCTGTTCCTTCTGACATCATCAGTACCCACGACTGAGCTTTATTTGGGATTTACCACGTGCTCTCAAGCACCCAGGCAAGGCAGGAGCCCTTCAGAACATGTTACCTTACTTAATCTCCTCAGCAACCTTGCAGGGCAGGTTCATCACAGGTGCAGACACAGAGGCGAACAGGGGCCCGGAGCCAAGGTGGAATAACAACGGGGCAGAGGGGCCACGATGGGTACACAGATGCCACCAGAGCCTGCCCTAGCTACAGGTGTCCTCCCCACCCCCACCCCACCCCCACTGCTCCTTCTCAGCCTCACTGAAGGAGCTTTTGTTCATATCCCAGTTCTTCACTTACTATCTTTGAGACTCCAGATCTCTCTGAGCCTCTTTTCTTCAAATATAAATGTGGATAAAAATGACTTTGCCATAAATGATTTACACAAACCATACGACACTAGGCCCAATGAGTGACAGCTATTTTACAATGGAGCATCCACTCCCAAAGCCCTCCTGAAATGGCCCCTCCACCCCAGCAGGCCTCTCCTCCCTGCCATTTCCCACCTGGTGATCTGACAAGGCAGCTTCTTAACCCGGTTGAGGAGGGTGTCTGCTGTTCCCCGGTGCAGGGGCTCTGGGCGAAGCAGGGCCACACCCCGGCGGGAAGGGCCCCCTCGAGACTCCTTCCTGAGGAAGGGAAAGATGCAGGGAAGGATGGGGTCAGGAGCAGCAAGCTGGACGTCTGAGATCTGGAGAACAGTGGGGGACTAGGAACGACATAATGGCACTGGAAGGCAGGCACTACGACCTGAGAGGGCATGGAGGTGGGGGGACAGGGCAGGGCAGGTATTATCTGGAATGGTTCCAAGGGGAGGAATAGAGCAAAAGAACTGGGACCTCACCGGCTGCTGGGTTCTTCCCAGTGGAAGTCGACTGGCCAGCTCCGGAAGTCAAAGTTGTAGTTAGCAAGCTGCCTCTGCAGTGGACACGAGAGTATAAGGGGAGGAAAAGGGGTGTTGAGAACTCAGGGGAGGCCCTCCTACCCACCCTCAACAACACCTTTGTTATCCAGGGGTCTGATCCCCATACATCATGGGGAAACCAAGCAGAGGTCAACACCCTCCCAATTCTCAGATGGAAAATTCTAATGGGACCAGAAAATCAGGCGAGATGGTATGCCCCATCAGGTATCAGGACTGGCCTGTCTGCCCTCTTCCAAGCTAGGAACCTAACACTCCGCTTTTCTAAAAAACTAAGCCTGACCCACCCCCAGGAGGAGTGGCTGAAGGTGCTAGTGCTTTTGAGTGATGGGGTAGAAGGGGGCCGCTGGCTGGTCACGGTCTATTCCCCACCTGGGTCCCTTATGGGGTACTATCTTAGAGGCTTAGAAATCTCCCAGCAGATCATACCGACAGATCCAAGGTTGAGTGAGACAGAGAGGAGGCTGCAGCCTCAAAATCCCAGGCCCAAATGATGCTCCTACTTAGCCCTCACTGCAGCCTCAAACTCCCAGGCCCAAGTGATCCCCCTACCTCAGCCTCTGGAGTAGCTGGGACTACAGACATGTGCTACTATGCCCAGCTAATTTTTAAAATTTTCTTTAGAGACAAGGTCTTACTATGTTGCCCAGGCTGGTCTCGAACTCCTGGGCTGAAGTGATCCTCCTGCCTCGGCTTCCAAAAGTGCTGGGATTGTAGGCATGAACCACCTCGCCAGCTCCACATGTTTTTTGAGGACAGTGGGAGCTGCGTCTTTTTTTTTTTTTTTTTTTTTTGAGACGGAGTCTCGCTCTGTCATCCAGGCTGGAGTGCAGTGGCGCCATCTTGGCTCACTGCAAGCTCTGCCTCCCGGGTTCACACCATTCTCCTGCTTCAGTCTCCCAAGTAGCTGGGACCACAGGTGCCCACTGCCATGCCCGGCTAATTTTTGTATCTTTAGCAGAGATGGGGTTTCACTGTGTTAGCCAGGATGGTCTCGATCTCCTGACCTTGTGATCCACCCGCCTTGGCCTCCCAAAGTGCTGGGATTACAGGCGTGAGCCACCGCGCCTGGCCTAGCTGTGTCTTAATACTTGACTGTATTGTCCCCTGAGCTCCCAGCACTCTATTTTGAGGGTTTTCATTTTCTGCACAGAAATTTTTTGACACTTCAAAAATAATTTGAATAACAGAGAGCAATAGAAAAATTATACAAAAAGGTAAATGGCAAAACAAGATGAATAAAAGCAAATTTCAGGCAGGCTTTGCTCAGACCTGCTCTCAAATCTGGACTTAGCTACTTTCTTGCTCTATGACTCCGAATGGGTCACTTAACCTCTTTTTGCCTCTGTTTTCTCCAATTTACAAATAAGGGTAATAATGCCACCTCGCTCAGCTGTCGTGAGAATCAGAAAAGTGTATGCCAAATGCCTCAGCCAGTAGCATAGTACAGGGCATCATTACACAGCTCCATAAATAGTGTGGAATAGCCAGGAATGCGATGACGGTGGTCATAGCTATTTGATCCCAGAAACCTCCCATAACAGAAAAGAGCTTTACGGGGCCCCAAAGCCCATCCTCAAAGATAATCACAGTTCAGCACCAGCTGGCCTGGCAAAATTCCCAGGACACTGAGCCCCAGCTTTTCTCCCTCCTGGCACCATGCTGTACTCCCAGTCACAGGAGTGGACATACCTGTCCACCTTGTCCCATCCACAAACAAGGATAGCATGGTATTCAGTGTATACAACAAAAATAAACATTTATAGAACTGAGCTGCTGTGATACAGAGAAAACTACCTTCTAAGAAACATTGTGGGCTGGGTGCAGTGGCTCACGCCTCTAATCCCAGCACTTTGGGAGGCCAAGGCAGGTGGATCACCTGGAGGGTAGGAGTTTGTGTTAGCCTCACCATGGCGGAAACCTCCCCATCTGCTTTTACTAAAAGGATACAAAATTAGCCGTGTGGTGGTGCCCTATGGGCTTGTGATCCCAGCTACTTTGACTGAGCAGCCGAGAATCGGCTTCAACCCAGACAGAGGTTTGCAGTAAGCTGAATCTCATTGTACTCAGCTGGGCCAACAAGAGCGAAACTCCATCCAAAAAGAAAAAAAAAAAAGAACACTGTGGCCAGGCACAGTGGCTCACACCTGTAATCCCAGCGCTTTGGAAGGCCAAGGCAGGCAGATCATCTGAGGTCACGAATTCAAGACTAGCCTGGCCAACATGGTGAAACCCTGTCTCTACTAAAAATACAAAAATTAGCTGGGCATAGTGGTGCGCGCCTGTAATTCCAGCTACTCAGGAGGCTGACGCGTGAGAATCGTTTAAACCCAGGAGGTGGAGGTTGTAGTAAACTGAGATTGTACCACTGCACTTTGGCCTGAGTAACAGAGTGAGACTGTCTCAAAGGAAAAAAAAAGAGGCCAGGCGTGGTGGCTCACGCCTGTAATCCCAGCACTTTGGGAGGCCAAGCAGGCAGATCGCCTGAGGTCATGAGTTCGAGACCAGCCTGGCCAATATGGTGAAACCCCATCTCTACTAAAAATACAAAAATTAGTAGGCGTGGGCGCCGCGTGCCTGTAATCCTAACTACTCAGGAGGCTGAGACAGGAGAATCACTTGAACCCGGGAGGCGGAGGTTGCAGTGAGCTGAGATCGTGCCACTGCATTCCAGCCTAGGCAACAAGAGTGAAACTCCATCTCCAAAAAAAAAAAGAAAAGAAAAAAGAAACACTGGGGCCGGGCGCGGTGGCTCACGCCTGTAATCCCAGCACTTTGGGAGGCCGAGGTGGGCGGATCACAAGGTCAGGAGATCGAGACCACGGTGAAACCCCGTCTCTACTAAAAATAGAAAAAATTAGCCGGGCGCAGTGGTGGGCGCCTGTAGTCCCAGCTACTCGGGAGGCTGAGGCAGGAGAATGGCGTGAACCCGGGAGGCGGAGCTTGCAGTGAGCCGAGATCGCGCCACTGCACTCCAGCTTGGGGGACAGAGCGAGACTCCGTCTCAAAAAAAAAAAAAAAAAGAAAAAAGAAACATTGTGGAATGTTTCTAGTTTAGCCAGTTCTTGCAGGTGAGGGAGAGGGAAGATTGTTCTAGCAGAATATTCCATTAGAAGTGGTAGGGAAGAAAACTTTCTCAGGTGGACAGTTCACTAATGAAGGGGAGACGAGATACAGCAATGTGCAAACAAACACCCAGTGTGGTAGGTGGTAAAACACACCTCCTCTTCCTGCAGAAGCCAGTGTCCGGTGCTCTGAGGGACAACTGAGGAAGCTGCTATTGGGCACCTGCGTGGCACTTTTCTTAGAGCCTCTCACCTTGTTTTCTGAAGACTGGTTCCGATGCGTTGCTTCCAAGATGGTGATGAACTGCCGGTACTGGGGGTTGGTCCAGCGGCCAATGCCTGGTAGAAAAAGGACAGGAAACAGTGCTAGGAAAACTGGAAAGCAGAATGCCTAGGTTTTAGGAAAACAATTGGAAACGGGCAAGAGAAGGCCCTGAAAGAAGTGAAAGAAAAAGGAACTGAGGGCATAGGATGTGGAGAAATAGACCTAAGCCAACCCTCTTCCTCCAAATCCAGCAACTGGCTACAGGATGCTTCTTCTCCATAGCTTCTGCAGTTTGTGTCTCTAAAGATGATCCTTAACCTACCATCTTTCAGAATGTTCATTTTCCTCAGTCTTTAAACACTGTCACATAACCTATTATATGACACTATTAAACACTGTCTTATAATACTATTCTCCCTTGTGAAAATCAAATTTCTCTATTTTTCACTGCCACTCTTCTCCAGTGCTTGCTTTCTGCCTCTTTTCTGTATATCCTAGCCCCTTGCCGTCTGGTTTCATAGTCTCCAGCTCCTGCCCATAATTACTTCCTCACTGAATCCCTGACTCTTCCATCCTCATTCTCTTCAACTGTACCACTCAGCATTCTTCCTGTCCCTCAAGATTCTTCCTGCCTCTGCTTCCTGGGCCCATCCTTGACTCCTTCTAATTCCTAAACAGTTCCTCTCCTGCCTCCTTTCTGCTTTCCTCTCTGAAGCAGAAGCAACTCTCAGTGCTGACTCTCTCTTCTCTCTTTTCACTTACACGCCCAGTGATTGCATCCACTCTCCTTTCACTGCTGAGGCACCTCAAACACTAACTTGTCTCCTCACTGACCTGGCAGGTGTCATGTGCCAGGCAGGCACCATTCTACACACAGGAGACTCAGCAGGAAATGAGATACGCAGCTCCTGGCTCTCAGAGAGCTGGCATTCTGGTTGGGGTGAGGTACAGCCAGAAGACAATAAACAAGAACATTTAAGAGAGGGATAAGTGTTACAAAGAAAATACAACAGGAATGAACTAGAACTTTATGTGTCATCACTGGTAGTCCCCCAAAACGATATGATGAGAGAATGACGTGTGCTGCAGAATGATTTGTATGGAGTGATAACATTTATGCCAAAACTGTAAAATGTGCAAAATAATACATACTGCTTATAGATAGCATATTTCATAGATTCTAAGATGTATATTTTTTAACCCTTGAAAACTCTGAAATTAGTATTCATTTTACAATTGATGGCAGCTTAGATTTGAGGAAATGAGGTATATGTTTCATAAAGGTATGTGCCAGAAAAAAAAAAACAAACCCCACACCAAATGACAATTATTACTTCTGAGGAAAGAGGAAGATAGGACTGAAAGGATTCCAATGGGAACTCCAACTCTAACTGTGGTGCTTTAGTATTTTATTGACAGAAAGCATTTAAAGCAAATATCACAAAACTATATATAAAAAAAAATCACAAAACTATATATCAAAAAATTTAAAAAGCCTTATATATTTTGTTCTGTGGACTTTTCTGTATTTTTCCTTTTTCCTTTTTTTTTTTTTTTTTTTTTGAGACAGAGTTTCGCTCTTGTTGCCCAGGCTGGAGTGCAATGGTGTGATCTCGGCTCACCACAACCTCCGTCTCCCTGGTTCAAGTGATTCTCCTGCCACATCCTCCCAAGTAGCTGGGATTACAAGCGCCAGCCACCACGCACAGCTACTTTTTTCTGTATTTTTTCTAAATTAAAAATAAATAAAATAAAAAATTAAGACAAAACTGAGTAGTGGGAGCTACTTTTAGACAAGGTGGTCAGGGAAGACCTCTCTGAGGAGAGAGCCCAGCCCTGCAGAGATCAGGGGGCAGAGCACCTCAGGCAGAAGGTCCTGGACCCAACTGCAGCCATCCAGCCCTGACACCACCACCCCCATGTTCAAACATCGCCCATCACCTGATTGTCATCTTATGTACCCACTAGGGGTAGGTGATCTGTTCTGCCTCTTTATTTTTTTAAACTGCGAGATATAACATAGGTACATAAAACATATATTCAGTTTAAAAAATACAAAGCAAACATTCATGTGACTATCACCTAGGTCAACAAAGAGAACACAGTCACCTTTCAGCAGGGGTCTCCCCTATTCTGTACTTCCCCACTCCAGGTAATCACTCTCCGAACTTTTAAGAAAACCATGCCCTTGTTGTCTTTGGTGTTCTACCTCAAACACGTGCATCCCTTTCGAATTTTATATAAATGAAATCATACTGCATACATTATTTTGTGATTAGCTTCTTCTATTTAACAGAACATTTCAGAAATTCATCTGCATTGCTTTTGTTTTTCTGGAGACAGAGTCTCACTCTGTCACCCAGGCTGAAGTGTAGTGGTGCTATCTTGGCTCACTGCAACCTCTGCCTCCCAGGTTCAAGCAATTCTCATGCCTTAGCCTCCCAAGCCATTAAGACTACAGGCATGTGCCACCATGCCCAGTTAATTTTTTGTATTTTATTTTTTTCTGAGATGGAGCCTTGATCTGTTGCCCAGGATGCAGTGCAGTAGCTCAATCTTGGCTCACTGCAACCTCTGCCTCTCAGGTTCAAGCAATTCTACTGCCTCAGCCTCCCGAATAGCTGGGATTAACAGGTGCTCACCACCATAGCTGGCTAATTTTTTTTTTGTATGTTTAGCAGAGATGGGGTTCCACCATGTTGGACAGGCGGGTCTTGAACTCCTGACTTCTGGTGATCTGCCCGCCTCAGCCTACCAAACTGCTAGGATTACAGGCATGAGCCACCACACCTGGCTTCATCTGCGTTGATGAGTGTAGCTATAGTTTGTTCATTTGCATTGCTATATAGTGTTCTGTTGCATGGCTATTGCACAGAACTTTTTTTCTTTTTTTTTTTGAGACGGAGTCTTGCTCTGTCACCCAAGATGGAGTACAGTAGTGCAATCTCGTCTCACTGCAATCTTTGCCTCCCAGGTTCAAGCTATTCTCCTGCCTCAGCCTCCTGAGTAGCTGGGATTACAGGCACGTGCCACCACGCCCAGCTAATTTTTGTATTTTTAGTAGAGATGGGGTTTTACCATGTTGGTCAGGCTGGTCTCGAACTCCTGACCTCGTGATCCACCGGCCTCTGCCTCCCAAAGTACTAGGATTATAGGCGTGAGCCACCGCACCCGGCTGCACAGAACGTATTTTATCCATCCTACTATTCGGTAGCCACTGGAGTTGTTTCCAGCTTAGGATTATTACAAACAATGTTGTATGCTGTATTCCTGTACATATATATTGTTTATACATGTGGAGGAGTTTCCCTAGTGTGTATACATATATAGAATTGTTGTAGGGTATATGCATCTTTTCTAGATAATAGCAGCCAGGCATAGTGGCTCACATCTACAATCCCAGTACTTTGGGAGGCTGAGGTGGGAGGATCACTTTGAGTTCAGGAGTTTGAGACCAGCCTAAACAACATGGTGAGACCCTCTCTCTTAAAAAAAAAAAAAAGCAAGCCTTGTTGTTTTTTTTTTTTTAACCCCAATTTTTTTTTTTTTTTTTTTTTTTTTTTTTTGAGACGGAGTCTTGCTCTGTGCCCCAGGCTGGAGTGCAGTGGCGCGATCTCGGCTCACTGCAAGCTCCGCCCCCCCCGGGTTCACGCCATTCTCCTGCCTCAGCCTCCCGAGTAGCTGGAACTACAGGCGCCCGCCACCTCGCCCGGCTAATTTTCTTGTATTTTTAGTAGAGACGGGGTTTCACCGTGTTAGCCAGGATGGTCTCGATCTCCTGACCTCGTGATCCGCCCGTCTCGGCCTCCCAAAGTGCTGGGATTACAGGCTTGAGCCACCGCGCCCGGCCTATAACCCAAGTCTTTTAAGGAAAAGATCATGCCTTAAACCATTCTCAATGATTCCCTCTCGGGGTCCATCACTAAACTGTATTTGCACAAGGTACTTAATATGTACCCAGTGACAGTGACAGATAAGATTCAAACCAGGTTTCATCTTGACCTACCTCGGAGGCAGGCCACGCCTGCCAGAAGTAGCAGCAATGTCCCAGCATAGTGAGAAAACGGCACCACTTTGGACAAACTCAAGTAACCTGGGAAGGGAGAGGGACAATGTGAGACCCTCTCCGCAGTGTTCCTCAGCTCCTCTTCCCAGTTCAGCCCCAACCTCCACCCCACACTCCCTGTTTGGAACAGCCATACCCTAAGAGGAAGAAGATGCCTGATGGAAGAGGGAAGCCAAGCCATCCTCACAGGTCCCCTCTCCTCTTTAGGGAGCTGGCTCCTCTGCCAACAACCTGCCCATTTGCTACCCCACCACCTTTGAAACCACACTGACCTTTCCTGTACAAGTAGAAGAAGGCGAAGGGAGAGGAGTAATAAGAGATGGACCAGAATACTGAAGCCTGCAGCAGAGAGACAGGGACAGGCAATCAATACACACACATACACACACACACGCCTGCCATTCCAGGCCTATACTCTGAGCAAGATGGACAACCTGAGGGATATCATATCATATTTGGTGTATGACACCATGAATACAGTAGATGCTCAATATTTGTTGAAAAGTAGTGTGTCAGTGTAATGGAGGCTGGGAAAACTAGGTACAGGTTCTATTTTCTTCCTCTGGAATTATGGAAGAATTATGTCTTCCATCTCCAGGCATAATTCCATCACATTTAAAGGCAGTCTCTCTGTCTACTCAAGTTAATCAAGCCTTTTCAATTGGCCCTGCTCAAGACAGCCCCTGACCTGGTCCCCAAGAGATGCGCAGACGTCACCACAGGAACTGTGCCAGAACGAACAGCTGTCCCTGCAGCCAAAGAGGTTAGTTGCCAGGGAGGACAGGTCACTGGGGAACTGCAGGACTTAGCACCTGCAGATGGTCCCAAGAGTAAACATGTTTTCCTTATGGCTCAGGCTGCCCCCAGAGAAAGCAGTGCTACATACCAAAGGGGAGTGCCAAGTATGCACACTTTGAGTGTGTCTGTGTGTCTGTGTTGGAGAGGTCTGCTGCAGAGCCCAGAGCACCCCCAACCCCAGGGGTACTGTTGCTCCCAAGCTAGGGAAGGCTAAGTTCAAGAGGACAGGTGGGTCTGAAAGATGCAGAGAGTCCCAGATGCCAGGGTAGACATACCAGTGCCAGGATGCTGTCAGCATGTTTCTCCAGGGCACGGGGCTGATAGTACGTATCCTGCCAAAACAGATGGCCTCCTTAAGGACCCTGCCACTGGCAGGTCCTTTTCCTTCCCTTTCAGAAGCTCTGCTGTGTGTCCTCCGGTTCTACTCTCGTTGACTATCTTTCTTGAGACATCCCCGGCCCCCACAGAAAACCCTCTTCCTCACCCTCACTCTGAACCTAATTTCCCACCCCTGACCATGGGAACAAACACAGGGAGCTGGACTTGGAAGCAAAAGTGAAAGCAGCATTGGACGATTTTTGCTCCTTTTCCACAGTCTAGTTTAAAATGGATTGCAGGCGCGTGCATATGGGGAGAAGGGTTAGTTTGAGAAGAAAGACACCAAGACAATCTAAGAGGGAAAGAAAAGCATCAGAAATAAGAGTAGTTGACTAAGAAGAGAATGTGGGTAGGAGCGGGCAGTTTGTAGGAGACAGTAACACAATGTGAGACAACTGATAAAAAGGAAGATAATATTTAGAACAGCCTACCACCACCCGCCCGCTCTCCAGAATACAATGACTCGGGTCTCCAGGCTAGGTTGGGCGGGGGTTGAGGGGAGGACCTACGGATACTGGATCTGTAAAAGTCATTCTGAAATTCAAGGCGAGGGTAAAGGGAAGATAAAAACGGAGCCGAGGGAGGCACGAAGAGGCATTGCGAAAGAGGAAATTGGGAGTTCGACGGCAAAATTCAACGGCTCCCCAGTCCGCGCAGGGTCTCTTTCCCGGGACTTAAGACTCAACTAGGACTGGCACGAACCACGACAGACAGGGTGGGGGGACGCGGAGAGGAAAGAGCAAGGAGTGGCAGTCGGAATGAGAAAGCGGTAAAGAGCGAAAAAGAAAGGAGGCGGCCAGTCCGTAGGCGTGACTTTAACTCAGGAAGCACACAGAGCGCAGACTTTGCGGATGACTGGTTTGACAAGCAGGCTCCCCTTATTTCCCATTATGGGCACTTCTGAGGAGCAAAGGCCGTAAAGGGTTTGGACTGTACCACGTTCCTCGGCGGGGAGGAACTCGACTCACCCAGGAGCTGGAATGGGGGGCAGTGACTGCCGTTGGCGTTTCAGGGACGCTGGCTGGGGCCCTTTCAGAGTCCCTCTCCCGGTAGATTTTGTACAGCCGGGGGCCTAGGACGCAGCTCAGCAGCTTCGCCATGGCCCTGGCTTGGGCCGCTGCTCTTCCAGCAGCAGGTCCCCCTGCCGGCCCCGCCCTCCCTGCCTCTGAGGTGTTGTGTGCCCTTGACGTCAGCCCGTACCGGCTCCGCCTCCGGGCGAGTTGCGACATTTTCAGTGCTTCCCGAGAAGAGTTTCGCGCAGTTTGGGGCTACGGGTGCAGCAGTGGTCCGAAACTAGTGGAAGATTTAGGAACGCGGAGAATCAGAAAATTACCAGGCATAGCTCAGTAATTTTTTTCTGTCTCATTATTGGCAGACTCTAGAGCGACAGCGGAAACGAGGGGTGAGATTAGGAGTACTTGATAAGAGTAACAGAAAAGATAAGGTGTCTAGGAATATATCTAGTACAAGAAATGCAAGATGCTATGAAGAAGACTATAAAAAGTTACTGAAAAGGCAAACTGGCCCGGCCCAGCGCGGTGGCTCACGCCTGTAATCCCAGCACTTTGGGAGGCCGAGGCGGGCGGATCACTTGAGGCCAGGAGTTCAAGACCAGCCTGGCCAACATGGTGAAACCCCGTCTCTACTAAAAATACAAAAATTAGCCTGGCGTGGGTGGCGCGCACCTGTAATCCCAGCTACCCTGGAGGCCGAGGCACCAGAATTGCTTCAACGTGGGAGGCAGAGGTTGCAGTGAGCCAAGATCTTGCCCCTGCACTCCAGCCTTGGTGACAGAGCAAGACTGTGTCTCTAAATAAATAAATAAAGGTAAACTAGCCCAACGCAGTGGCTCACACCTGTAATTCCAACACTTTGGGTGGCCAAGGGATGATTGCTTGTGTCCAGGAGTTCCAGACCATGGCTCACGCCTGTAATTCCAACATTTTGGGTGACTGAGAGAGGATTGCTTGCGACCAGGAGTTCCAGGCCAGCCCAGGCAACATAGTGAGACCCCATCTCTACACAAAATACCTAGGAAAAAAAAAAGACCTAGCAGGGTGTGTTGGTGCGCACCTGTAGTCCCAGCTACTTGGGAGGCCAAGGTGGGAGGGTCGCTTGAGCCCAGGAGTTCAAGATTGCTCCATGCACTCCAACCTGGATGACAGAGCCTGGCCTCAAAATAATAACAATAATAAGTGAAAAATAAAAAAAGAAAGAGGTAAACAAAAAGCTTTTCAATAAATGGAAAGCTACACCATGGTCCTGGATATGAAAATTCAGCACGGTGAGATATGGGGAATATTTGTAAAAAGAAAATAAGTGAATCATTACTCTTATGCATGAAATGAATCTTAAAACCGTGATGCTGAGTGAAAATAGAAAGCCGCAGAAGAATGTATACATGATACCAGTAATACTAGATTCAAAAACACATAAAATTTAAGCAAGTGGAGAAGAAAGAAAATTCAGAATCGTGGTGTTTTTTTGTTTTTTTTTTTTTTTGAGACGGAGTCTCGCTCTGTCGCCCAGGCTGGAGTGCAGTGGCCGGATCTCAGCTCACTGCAAGCTCCGCCTCCCGGGTTTACGCCATTCTCCTGCCTCAGCCTCCCGAGTAGCTGGGACTACAGGCGCCCGCCACCTTGCCCGGCAATTTTTTTGTATTTTTAAGTAGAGACGGGGGGTTTCACCGTGTTAGCCAGGATGGTCTCGATCTCCTGACCTCGTGATCCACCCATCTCGGCCTCCCAAAGTGCTGGGATTACAGGCTTGAGCCAACACGCCTGGCCAGAATCGTGGTTACACAGCATAGAGGATCTCTGACTGAAACAGAATATTCTTTTTTTCTCTTTCTTTTTTTTTTTTTTTTTTTCTGAGACAGGGTCTAGCTCTTTCGCCCAGACTGGAGCACAGTGGCACAATCATGGCTCACTGCCCTGATCCTCCACCTGCTGGGCTCAAACATCCTTCCACCTCAACCTCCTGAGTAGCTGGGAATACAGGCCCACGCCACCACACTCGGCTAATTTTACGAGGTCTCACCATGTTGCCCAGGCTGATCTCAAACTCCTGGGCTCAAGCAATCCTTCTGCATTAGCCTCACAGAGTGCTGGGATTACAGGCGTGAGCCACTGTGCCTGGCCTGGAATATTCTATTTCTTTTCTTTTTTTTTTTTTTTTTGAGACCAAGTTCCGCTCTTATTGCCCAGGCTGGAGTGCAATGGCCCGATCTTGGCTTACGACAATCTCCGCCTCTGGGGTTCAAGTGATTCTCCTGCCTCAGCCTCCCAAGTAGCTGGGATTACAGGCATGTGCCACCATGCCCTGCTAATTTTTTTATTTTTAGTAGAGAGGGGGTTTCTCCATGTTGGTAGAGAGGGGGTTTCTCCATGTTGGTCAGGCTAGTCTTGAACTCCCGACCTCAGGTGATCCGCCTGCCTCAGCCTCCTAAAGTGCTAGGATTACAGACGTGAGCCACCAAGTCCGGCCTGGAATATTCTATTTATTTCTGGGTTTTTTTTTTTTGGAGACGAAGTCTCGCTCTGTCGCCAGGCTGGAGTATAGTGGCATAATCTCTGCTCACTGCAACCTCTGCCTCCTGAGTTCAGTCGATTCTCCTGCCTCAGTCTCCTGAGTAGCTGGGACTACAGGCATCCGCCACCACGCCCAGCTAATTTTTGTATTTTTAGCAGAGATGGGGTTTCACCATGTTGGCCTGGATAGTCTCGATCTCTTGACCTCGTGATCGGCCTACCTCAGCCTCCTAAAGTACTGGGATTACAGGCATGAGCCACCGTGTCTAGCCTTTATTTTTAGAGTTGGGGTCTTGCTCTGTTGCCCAACCTCAAACTTCTGGCTTCAATCGACCCACCCACCTTGGCCTCCAAAAATATTAGGATTATAGACATGAGCCACCATGCCTGGCCAGGCTTCTTTTCCTCTCATTATGTTGTGAGATTCAACCTTGTTGCAATCACTGGGTTTGTTCATTCTCATTGCTGTCCAGTGTTCTACTGTGTTAATATACCACCATTTATCCATAATATAGTTATACTTCATATAGTTTTTGGTATGTATGGAATATTTCATCCAAATAATTTTTTAAAATAAATAAATGACACATTAAAACTATAATAACTGCATGAAGATCTGCCTTAGGAGTTTTTGCCATTCAGAAGGATGAATCAGCCCGTTATCCTTCTCCTTGAGTAATAACTTAATACACTCATCAGGGGTTCAGGAGAGGTCTGGGGTATGCCAGACAGCCACAGGGAAAGTCATTCCCAATCATTTACGGGACACTGACTGGATACACAGTCTTGTGCTGGGTTCTGTGGAGGACCAATGTGAAAACTCAGTTTCTCCAGTCATAGCTGACATTTCTTTTTTTCTTCTTTTTCTTTTTTTTTTTTGAGATGAAGTCTCGCTGTCTCGCTCTGTCTCCCAGGCTGGAGTGCAGTAGCACGATCTCGGCTCACTGCAACCTCTGCCTCCTGGGTTCAAGCGATTCTAGTGCCTCTCAGCCTCCTGAGTAGCTGGAATTACAGGCATATGTCACCACGCCCGGCTAATTTTTGTATTTTTTGTAGAGACAGGGTTTCACCATGTTGGCCAGGCTGGTCTTGAACTCCTGACCTCAAGTGATCCACCCAACTCATGGCTGACATTTCTTAGGAGTGAAAGAGACCTCAGAATGTACTTCCAGACTGACAGGAGCTAGACAGGCAGGACCACTTCCCTGCATGGTTTTTTGCATGGAAAGTCTTTACTTGAGTCCCTTAGCTGATGTGGAATCAGAAGAGCAAAAAGGTCATCTTCAGAGTGGTCTGGGCTGGGTCCTTTTCTCTCCAGGACAGAAAAGTGGTGGTCACTTTTTCTCTAGTAGACATGCTGCTGGACTTTATCGCCCCAGCATTCCCATCCCCTCCAGAGGCCCTTGTCACCCCAGACCAGTGAGTGTGGGCCTTTATCTGGACTCTGCTTCCTCCTTGGGAACACCAGGTCTTGGAGCAAGAGAACTTGGCAGGCTTTCCCCATGGCAGTCTTATTCCTCCTCCTGTTCCTATGTGGAACTCCCCAGGCTGCAGGTAAGGGGCAAGAGGTAGGTGATTCCTTAGCTGTTTCCAAGGTTGGGGAGGGACTGCTGCTCTTTCTCCTAGGAGCCTGGCAAAGGCATCTGACTCAAGAAGATAGAATTACCCCAACTGACCTCCTCCTGCCTCTGACACTAGGGAAGACCCAGGGGCAACGAAGATCCAGGTTATGCAGTTTCCTTTATAAAATAAGAAGAATGAGTAAATGCTTTCAGAAAAGTTGAAATGAGTAGAAGAGATGTGGGCATTTGCCAACTCTTTCAGCCCTTTCCCTCTTGCCCTCAGACCCCCTCACTGTCTGGGGGAGAGACAAGGAAAGCCCTTACCCTATCTTTCCACCTGTCTTATTTTTGTAGCTGTCACTTGAGAAAGGTGGTCACCAGCCAGGCCCGTGCTGGGGGACCCCAGAAGGGGAGGAAGTCAGGGTTGAAGATCAAATGGGGGATTGTTGATCTGATGGAGGTCTCTGGCCTCATACAACCTTCTTCCCACAGACAACATCCACGCCATCTATGTGGCCTTGGGGGAGGCAATGGAACTGCCATGTCCCTCACCACCCACTCTACATGGAGACCAACACCTGTCATGGTTCCGCAGCCCTGCAGCAGGCTCCTTCACCACCCTGGTAGCCCAAGTCCGAGTGGGCAGGCCAGCCCCAGACCCTGGAAAACCAGGAAGGGAATCCAGGCTCCGACTGCTGGGGAATTATTCTTTGTGGCTGGAGGGATCCAAGGAGGAAGATGCCGGGCGGTACTGGTGCGCTGTGCTAGGTCAGCACCACAACTACCAGAACTGGAGGGTGTACGACGTCTTGGTGCTCAAAGGTGAGTGGGGGCATGCAGACCAGGGGCTACTGTGGGCCAGGAAGTCTAGGTGAAGAACTGAGGGGTCCCTCTCTCCCCCACAGGATCCCAGTTATCTGCAAGGGCTGCAGATGGATCCCCCTGCAATGTCCTCCTGTGCTCTGTGGTCCCCAGCAGACGCATGGACTCTGTGACCTGGCAGGAAGGGAAGGGTCCCGTGAAGGGCCGTGTTCAGTCCTTCTGGGGCAGTGAGGCTGCCCTGCTCTTGGTGTGTCCTGGGGAGGGGCTTTCTGAGCCCAGGAGCCGAAGACCAAGAATCATCCGCTGCCTCATGACTCACAACAAAGGGGTCAGCTTTAGCCTGGCAGGTAAACCGAGGGAGGAGACGGAAAGGGATGTTCTTTCACCTCAGCCTCCCAAGTAGCTGGAATTACAGGCGCCCGCCACCATGCGCGGATAATTTTTTGGACTTTTGTAGAGACGAGATTTCACCATTTTGGCCAGGCTGGTCTCAACCTCCTGACCTCTAGTGATCTGCCCACCTCGGTCTCCCAAAGTACTGAGATTATAGGTATGAGCCACCGCGCCTCCCCTAATTTTTAAACTTTTTTGTAGAGACAGGGTCTCACTATGTTGCCCAGTCTGGTCTCAAACTACTAGCCTCAAATGATCTTCCTATCTTGGTCTCCCAAAGTGCTGGGGTTACAGGCATGAACCACCGCACCTGGCTATTTTTTCTTGAAAGGGTGAATTACTATAAAGGGTGTGAGGGGAAAGTGTGGTTATGGCTGGTGGTCTGCTCTGTAGTTGGCTGTCCATGTGTGAGCAGGGGGCATTGCCATTCTCTATTATTTTATTTTGTTTTGTTTATTATTATTATTATTAGGCCAGGCGTGGTGGCTCAAGCCTGTAATCCCAACACTTTGGGAGGCTGAAGCAGGCGGATCACTTGAGGTCGGGAGTTCGAGACCAGCCTGACCAAAATGGAGAAACTCTGTCTCTACTAAGAATACAAAATTAGCTGGGTATGGTGGCACATGCCTGTAAACCCAGCTACTCGGGAGGCTGAGGCAGGAGAATCACTTGAACCTGGGAGGTGGAGGGTGCAGTGAGCCAAGATCACGCCATTGCACTCCAGCCTGGGCAACAAGGGCAAAACTCTATCTTAAAAAAAAAAATTGTATTTTTAGTAGAGACGGGGTTTCACCATGTTGGCCAGGATGGTCTTGATCTCTTGACCTCATGATCTGCCCACCTTGGTCTCCCAAAGTATTAGGATTACAGGTGTGAGCCACCATGCCTGGCCTTTTTTTTTTTTTTTTTTTTTTTTTTTTTTTTTTGAGATGGAGTCTTGTTCTGTTGCCCAGGCTGGAATGCAGTGGCGCGATCTTGGCTCACTGCAACCTCTGCCTGCTGAGTTCAAGCTGTTCTCCCATCTCAGCCTCCTGAGTAGCTGGGACTACAGGTGCCTGCCACCATGCCCAGCTAACTTGTGTGTGTGTGTGTGTGCGTGTGTGTGTGTATTTTGAGACTGAGTCTCTCTCTGTCGCCAGGCTGGAGTGGAATGGCACAATTCCAGCTCACTGCAACCTCTGACTCCCTGGTTCAAGTGATTCTCCTGCCTCAGCCTCCCAAGTAGCTAAGATTACAGGCATACGCCACCACGTCCAGCTAATTTTTGTATTCTTAGTAGAGCCAGGGTTTCACCATGTTGGCCAGGATGGTCTTGATCTGACATGTAATCCGCCCGCCTCGGCCTCCCAAAGTGCTGGGATTACAGGCATGAGCCACAGCGCCTGGTCTCTTTTTTGTGTTTTTAGTAGAGATGGAGTTTCACCATGTTGGTCAGGCTAGTCTCGACCTCCTGACCTCAGGTGATCCACCCATCTCGGCCTCCCAAAGTGCTGGGATTACAGGTGTGAGCCACTGTGCGTGGCCCCAATTTTTATATTTTTAGTAGAGATGGGGTTTCATCATGTTGACCAGGCTGGTCTTGAACTCCTGACCTCAAGTGGTCTGCTTGCCTTGGCCTCCTAAAGTGCTGGGATTACAGGTGTGAGCCACTGTGACTGGCCGCCATTCTCTATTTATGGGTCAGGGTGAGAGGCCTGGAAAGGGGCAGAGTAGGGTGGAGGATATTGAGGGCAGGGAAACTTACAAAGTCTTCTGTTGGAAGAGCCCACCAGACTGTGGAGGGGAGGACTCTCTTTGGGGCACAGGGACAGGCCCCCTCACTGCCTCCTTCCCATCCCTCTGGTCTGGTTCTTACTACAGCCTCCATGGATGCTTCTCCTGCCTTCTGTGCCCCTTCCATGGGCTGGGACATGTCTTGGATTCTGATGCTGCTGCTCACAATGGGCCAGGGAGTCATCATCCTGGCCCTCAGCATTGTGCTCTGGAGGCAGAGGGTCCGTGGGGCTCCAGTCAGAGGTGAGTCCCTCCCTCCCGGGGGGAAGAAGAGGGCACGTGGGTGGGAGGCAAAGGGCTAGGCTCGCACCCTGCCTCTGTACCCCACCTCCTCTAGGGGAGGGGGCAAGGAACACAGCTCTAAGTTGTCTGCTGACTTCTCTTCTGTATCCCTAATGGCTCCTTCTCCCCAGCTGCCTCGATTCCTCAGTTCAAACCCGAAATCCAGGTCTATGAGAACATCCATTTGGCCCGTCTCGGGTGAGGAACAGCTAGGGAACAGAGGCTTAAATCCCGGAGGGGACTGGGGATGGGAGAGGAAACACGGGTTGGGTTGGGGAGGAGCCCTTGTTCCTGAGGACGTGAAAAGTAGAGGTATCCTTAATCCGTCTCTCTGGAAAACCCCACAGCCCACCTGCCCACAAGACCAGGTGATTTTGGTGACATCTGCTGGGAAGTGTGACCTGCTGTTTCGCTGGCCATCTAGCACCTGGAGCATTCCTCGACAACCTTGGCAAGGGGGGCGGGACTGCGAGTTCGACTTCACCGTCCAGCTGGCGTCCAGCAGCCACCAAGCTGTGTATGGGGAGGGTGGGGGACTGAAGGAAAGGAGGAGCATTATTTTGTGATGTCACCTACAAAAAGGTTTGGTCTCCTGTCTTGTAGCAGCCAGTGGAGGGATGGCCCTGAGCCCATAGTACTGTGGGGTTGAGGGGAGCCTGAGGTTGCTGGTGGGGGCAAGGAGGATGGGTGTGAGCAGGGAGGAGACAGGAATCTGGAGACTTGAGCAATGGTGGGGAATCCATCGCAGCAGAGCTGAAGGACAAATGGGGAAAACTGGGGAGAGAGAAGGGAAGAAACTCAAGTCAGAGAAAGTGGAAAGAGATAGAGAAAGAAAAAAATAGAAGCACCAAGTGGGAGGACGGAGTGACAGAGAAAATGGAAAGACTCAACCCATCTCTAAATTAAGCCAGACCCCCACTACCCAGTGTGTCATCCTCACAAAGAGGAGAGGGAACAAGCACCTTTAATCAACCCCAGACTTCCTCACATGCAAGGGGAGGGAACTGAGTAGGATAGAGATGCCTGTGCTCAGCTCCCACCCGGGGCCCCTCTTTATCCTTCCTTATCCTAGGCACACACTCTTCCCTGTGGCGCTCTACCGGGGCATTCAGAGCATGTGAGCAGCTATCGCCACTCTGGCACTTCCTCCCTGCTGCCCTGGGGTCACACCCTATATTCCGGGGGCAGAGGGAGTGTCTACTCCGGCTGGCAGGCCCAGTGGGGGTGTATTATTTATTGGGCCGGGGCCATGCTGGGATGTTTGTGAGTCTGGGCTGGTGAAGTGACGGAGGGTATTGATGCTCCCAACTTGGCCATTCTTCAGTCTCAGGCAGAAATGAGCTGAGCTCCAGCCACACCCTCACAAGCAGCTCCACTGGGTGCCCTTTTGTGTCTCTGCTCAAGCTTGGGCCTTACTGGAGAAAAGCTTTCTCAGAAGTCTCACCTAACGCCTTCAGGCTGCAGGGGCTTAAACTAAGCCATTGGCAGGATAAAGGAAGCACATGACACAGATGGAGAATGAGGGGAGTGCTGTGGTCCAGGTTCCAGCTCCAGCCCAACCCACCAAGCAGCTATAGTTCGCTCTTAGAGCTCACACACACACACAGCAGTATCTGCAGTATTCCTGTACTCCTAGATAGACCTTTTATTAAAGCTACTCTTCATAGTCCCCCAAGCCCTCCATCCTGAGCTCCCGACCTACCACATTAGTCTTCCCTAGCAAGACTCTCCTCCTTACCATACCTGATGCCGCTTTGATCCCTTTGCCTGAGATCCACAGTGTCATCAAAATGCCTGCCTTGCCAGTGACCGGGGCTGACAGGGGGCATCAGCAATGGGCATCTAGAAAAGACAAAAGACACAAAATAGGTGTTCTTTATGAGGCTGGACTCTGGGCAGGTGCCTCCCCAGGCCTTGTGAGGGGTCTGTGAGGGGGTCTCCTGAGAGATCTAGGGTCTCTGTACAAAATTAGGTTGTCGGGCATGTCTCAAAGTGTCTGTGCAGGTGTTTCCAGGGCCGTGGTGATGGTGGCGGAATCCTGGGTTGGGGGCTGCAGATCCCGGCAAAGCTGGCCACAAGGAGGGGCAGGGAGGCAAGGAGGCTGGTGAGCTGCCGTGGGGAAGCGGCCATGTTGCACAGGTCCTGCTAGCAGCAGTAGTGCCTCAGAATGTAGGAGCGCAGCCAGTAGGTGGCATGGCTCGGCAGAGGGCACTGGGCCCTTGGGAGGCAGCCTTTTCGCTCGATGATCTCACTCTGATCTGTGGGATGAAGGAGGCATGCTGAGGCGGGGGCCACAGGAAAGGCGGGATGGATGGAGGTAGGGAGCCACCTGGAGAAGGGCCATTGGACCAGAGCCCTACCTGAGGTGCCAATACTGATGCTGCAAGCTTCATCGTCCTGACACTTGGTGGGAACAGGGTAGCAGGGTTTGGCCAAGCTGCAGGTGTAATAGCGGAGCCTTCCCCGGGCAGGGGACATGGTGAGACCTGTTGAGGCAGCAGAGATTAGGAGAGCAGGAGAGCCAAACCCTCCCTGTGGGGCAGGCAGAGGCTAGATCCGGAGAGGGATCTCAGAGAGAGGTGACACACGAAGCAGAGAGAGGAAAGCTGTGGAACAAGGGAGAAAAGCAGACAGAAGTAGAAAAAGTGACCGGGCGCGGTGGCTCACGCCAGTAATCCCATGGGAGGCCGACGCGGGCGGATCATGAGGTCAGAAGATCAAGACCATCCTGGCTAACATGGTGAAACCCCGTCTCTACTTAAAATACAAAAAATTAACCAGGCATGGTGGCACGTGCCTCTAGTCCCAGCTACTCGGTAGGCTGAGGCAGGATAATCTCTTGAACCCGGGTAGCTGAGGTTGCAGTGAGCTGAGATCATGCCACTGCACTCCAGCCTGGGTGACAGAACAAGACTCCATCTCAAAAAAAAAAAAAAAAGAGACACAGAGAAGGGAGGGGAGACGATGCAGGAAAAGAAAGAGAGATGGAGGTAAGAGTGGTACAGGGATTGAGAAATGAGCAGACATGAACAGAAGCCATGAGAATCAGTGACCAACATAAGAAGAGTGAGACGGGCCGGGCGCGGTGGCTCAAGCCTGTAATCCCAGCACTTTGGGAGGCCGAGACGGGCGGATCACAAGGTCAGGAGATCGAGACCATCCTGGCTAACACGGTGAAACCCCGTCTCTACTAAAAAATACAAAAAACTAGCCGGGCGAGGTGGCGGGCGCCTGTAGTCCCAGCTACTCGGGAGGCTGAGGCAGGAGAATGGCGTGAACCCGGGAGGCGGAGCTTGCAGTGAGCTGAGATCCGGCCACTGCACTCCCGCCTGGGCAGCAGAGCTAGACTCCGTCTCAAAAAAAAAAAAAAAAAAAAAAAAATGAAGAGTGAGACAAAAAGCCAGACCCAGCAGCAGGGAAGTAGAGGCGGTCAGTGAAAAAGTTAAGTAAATGGCAGCAGAGACAGATAGGAAAATAGAAATTGACATTGACCAAAGGGCCCAGCACAGAAGCAAGAGGTGAAATAAGGGATAGGGGAGACAGGGGTGGGTCAAAGATGCAGCAAGGAGGAGACAGTTATTCTCAAATGCTTTTGAAAGGAAACTCTTCCTTTCCCACCTCATCAGGCTGGCCTTCCCAGTGGCTGGTCTCCCTGAAGTCCCCCACTCCCCCAGCTCTCTTCTTGGCCTCTTCCAGCGCTCCCACCCCTCTCCTCCCCAGCCCTCAGGTTCCTCCACATGCCCTTGTCCCCGCTCCCAGCCCCTTGACCGCTGAAAGTTCCCCAGTCCACCCTTACCCAGTGCACCACAGAGGAACAGGACACAGAGGAAGATGTTGGAGAAGCCCATGGCCAAACGCAGGGTCAGGAATTGGGGAGAGGTGATCTGCATCCTGAGATCCCGGGATTTGTAAAGTTGGAACATTTGAGCAAGACAGGGAGGAACCAGGAAACAAACACACCTAGGGAGTGAATCTGGGGGGCGGAACGGTGACCAGATTCATCAGCCTGACCCGCAGGCAGTGGGGGCCCCCAGCCTGCCCCTGCTAGGAGTCTGCCCTTGCCTGGAGGGTCTCCTCTGCTCTCTCAGCGTGTTGTCTCTGTAACTTAGCTTCCTCTCCTGCTCCTGAGTTGTGTCTGTCGCCTTCCCTCCTACTCCTCTCCCTCCCTCCCCATGTCTCAAGCTGCTCCCTGGCTCTCTTAGCTTCTCTCTGTCTTTGTTTTCTCTGTCTTTCCCCCTCAGTGCTTTCATGTCCTTCAAGGTCACCCTCCTAAACAACCCTGGCGTGGATCTGTTTGAGTGTAGAATCAACAATACCCCCCCACACCCACCCACCCACACGCACACACAAAGCCCAGCTGTATAAGGGCGGACCCCACCCAGCTTCAGATCCCTTTGATCCCCCCAAGCTTCAACATTCCTACCCCATAATTATCCCTGACAGCTTTACTACCTTGGAGGAAAGAAATAATCATGGGTGGGGCTGGAGGGCCAGCCGGGTGTGCTTGCACTGGGGAGAAATCACTAGAAAGGAAGGCATGGATAGAATTTGGGGTAGGGGGGTGGTGATAGAACCTGGAAGACTGGGGTTGAAGAAATTGGGAAGGAGGAAGGCCCATCTGGGGAATCAGAGCCAGCATGTACCAGGAGGAGTAAGACTAGGAACAGGGAGTGAAGATAGGGGAGACACAGGTGCCCAGGAGAGCAGCTCTTTTAAAAAACATTGATCTCAGGACCTCTTTACACTTTTCAAAGTTACTTAAGACTCTGAAGAGCTTTTCTTTATGAGGTTATATCAATATTTACTATATTAAAAATTAAAACAGATCATTTAAAGTAGGTATTGATTTATTTAAACAATAAAAATAATAAATTATTGCATGCTAACAAAATATGGTTTTGTGAAAAATAACTATTATTTCCCCACAGCACAGTGAGAAGCTGAGCATTGCTTTACATTTTGGTGAATCTAATGTCAGGCTTCATGGGAGATGCCTGGGTTTTCCTATCTGCTTCTGCATTCAGTCTGTTGGGATATGTTGTTTTCATTGAAGTCCAGTATATGAAGAAAATCTGATCTTACACAGATAGTTGCAAAAGGAAGACCCTCAAGGACCCTGTGAAAGGGTATCAGGGATCCCCAGGGGTTCTTCTTGGTCCACAGTTTCAGGACTGCTGCTGGAGATAAAGGAGTTTGAGGACTCCAGAGGATGCTGAGAGCATGCCGTGGGGCCCCTCCCTGTCCCCACTGGGGCCCCTGGTGCCTGCTGGGGGAGACTCTTTCCTCCTTTTTTTATAGCCCTATAAAGCTCAAGGCAAGGGGGATATAAGGCAGGTAGAGTCGGGCTAGGGGAGGGGGGTGGGCGGGAGGTAGAGGCGGTCCTGACACGGGCAGACTGCGATGAAACCCCAGTTTGTTGGGATCTTGCTCAGCTCCCTGCTAGGGGCTGCCTTGGGTAAGGAGGCGGCCGGCTAGCCTCTTACACAGGCCTTCTGCCAGCCAGCTCCACTGAGGGCCCAGGTCCAGCGCCTCTTTTCTCCTGCCAGGAAACCGAATGCGGTGCTACAACCGTGGTGGAAGCCCCAGCAGTTCTTGCAAAGAAGCCGTGACCACCTGTGGCGAGGGCAGACCCCAGCCAGGCCTGGAACAGATCAAGCTACCTGGAAACCGTATGTCCTCCATTTCTCTCTCTTCCCACAGCCTTTCCCTGCCTCCAGCCCCACGTCAATCCTTCTGGCTTCCAGAACCCTCCAGGCTCAGTCTGGCTCTGGGCAGATGGTGCGGCTGTCAGAGGAGAGCAGTCTGTACCCCTTCTGGCTCCTGGCACGGAGCCCCTGAGAGGCCCACAGTCCTTGTGCCCCCACCTCTCCACCTCCTTACTCTCCCAAAAGAGTCTCATAGGCCCATTAGCTCACAGGTGAAGAGCTCTGGCCCTGAAAGGCCAAAGTTAAAACCAAACTTCAAAATTCCGGCATTAGTCAAGGACCAGGGAGGGGTGTGTGTGTGTGTGTGTGTGTGTGTCTGTCTGTCTGTGTGTGTGTGTACATATTCTTAATATTTTATTTTAACGTAATTTTGGATTGACAGAAAAGTTGCAGAAATACTCAACTTTTCCTAATGCTGACATCTTACATAACCATGGTACAATTATCAAAATCACAAAATAACATTGATACAATACTACTAACTAATCTACAGACTTTATTTGATTTAGCAGGATCCTACATTGCATTTAGCTCTCGTGTCTTCTTTGTCTCCTCTGATCTGTGCCAGCTCTGTTTTTGTCTTTCATGACCCTGACATATTTGAAGAGCCCTGATAAATTATTTTATACCTAGAGTTTAAAAAAATCACTTTTAGGGCCGGTGCAGTGACTCACACCTGTAATTCCAGCACTTCAGGAGGCCGAGATGGGAGGACCACTTGAGCCCAGGAGTTGAGACCAGTCTGGGCAACATAGGGAGACCCTGTCTCTACAAAAAAAAAAAAAAGATTAAAAAATTAGCTGGGCATAGTGGCACATGTTTGTAATCCTAGATACTCAGGGGGCTGAAGAGGGAAGATTGCTTGAGCCTGGGAGGTTGAAGCTACAGTGAGCCATGATCATGCCACTATACTCCAGCCTGGGGAACAAAATGAGACCCTGTCTCAAAAAAAAAAAAAAAAAAATCATTTTTAGGCTGGGCTCAGTGGCTCACACTTGTAATCCCAGCACTTTGGGAGGCCAAGGCAGAAGAGTCACCTGAGGTCCGGAGTTTTCGGTAGAGATGGGGTTTCACTGTGTTAGCCAGGATGGTCTCGATCTCCTGACCTCATGATCCACCCGCCTCGGCCTCCCAAAGTGCTGGGATTACAGATGTGAGCCACCACGCCTGGCCAAAAAATGTTTTTAAAAAATTAGGCAGGCATGGTGGCACACACCTGTAATCTCAGCTTCCTGGGAGGCTGAGGTAGGAGGATTACTTGAACCCAGGAGTTCGAGGCTATAGTGAGCTATGATTGCACCACCACACTCCAGCCTGAGTGACAGAGCAAGACCTTTTCTCTAAAAATAAATAAAATCATTTTTAGATTTTTTTTTTAAAATTTACGTGCCGGATGCAGTGGCTCACGCCTGTAGTCCCAGCACTTTGGGAGGCCAAGGCAGGTGGATAACCTGAGGTCCGGAGTTTGAGACTAGCCTGACCAACATGGAGAAACCCTGTCTCTACTAAAAATACAAAATTAGCCAGGTGTGGTGGTGCATGCCTGTAATCCCAGCTACTCGGGAACCTGAGGCAGGATAATTGCTTGAACCCAAGAGGTGGAGGTTGCGGTGAGCTGAGATTGTACCATTAAACTCCAACTGGGCAATAAGAGTGAAACTCCATCTCAAAAAAAAAAAAAAATTTACATATACTTGATATACTAAAAATTATTTTATAGAATGTCCCTCAGGCCGGGCACAGTGGCTCAAGCCTGTAATCCCAGCACTTTGGGAGGCTGAGACGGGCGGATCACGAGGTCAGGAGATCGAGACCATCCTGGCCTACACGGTGAAACCCCGTCTCT